ACTTTCAACCGCAGCTCACGTCGAGTTTGGTGTGTATGCGCGTACGATTTGTCCCACAGCGCTTTTTTTTCGGAAACTCTGCCGAACTGCAACGCCGCCGTTGATGACGGTTGAGGCGGCTGCCAAACGGCTCTCATTCCACATGGTGGAATCTTTGCATATGCAGGCTAAGAGCAGGCCAAGAGCGTCCTCGTTCATGAGGTGAGAGATATGCACAAACTTTCGAAGCAGATGTCGAACGTGCCCAGTTACGCATGCACGCCATGGTACTTCGCGGGTTCCATATATGGTGTTTCGAGCAGAATACATCAAGCTGAAGGTACGAGAGCCAGTGCATGAGATAGAATACTATGCACCGTAATGCACAACGGTTTTGCGCCCCTGCAAAGCCATGGTTTTGGAGGAGCCTCCAGACACTTTTGCCACAAGCCATCACTTCATTCGGCCTTGGCACTTGAAACTCTGTGCATGAAAACCAACACAGCATCTCCCGTGAGGTCACCAGAAAACCATAAGGTATCAGCAACATGTCCATACTCGGATTGTCTTGTCTTCAGATCCGGATACAAGCCAATCATCGCTGGCAACCAGCGACCACACACCCAACATGTGGCCCTCAAGCACTCGAACGCACTCCCAAGTGTCGAGCATCCACACTCGAATCGACTTGTCCCACGAACCTGAAAACAAGTACTCCCCGTGCGTTTCCATCGACCACACAACACCTGTGTGCCCACGCAACACCCTGGCGCACTCCCAGCTCTCCAGCGTCCACACACGAATGGTGAAATCCCACGAACCGGAGAACAGCCAATCCTTGTTCACCGTGAGACATCGCACCCAACTGCTGTGCCCCTGGAGCACATCGACGCACTCCCAAGTGCCGACCTGCCACACACGGACGGAATGATCTCTTGATGCTGAAAACAGCCAGTCACTGTAAATGGCCACCGACAGGACGCCGTCGCTGTGCCCCTCGAGCACCCTCACGCACTCCCACGTGCCCATTTGCCACACTCGGATAGTCTCGTCCCAAGACCCGGAGCACAGCCACTCGTCAGAAACTGCCAGCGCCCGCACATAGTTGCTGTGCCCTACCAGCACCGCAACACATTCCCACGTCTCCAGGCTCCACACCCGGATGGTGGTGTCCCAGGAACCCGAAAACACCCAGCCACCATTCACAGCCACCGAGTTAACTTCGCGCGTGTGCCCTTCCAGAACATGGATGCACTCCCATGTGCCCAACTTCCACACACGTAGGGTTGTGTCCTCCGAGCTGGAAAACAGCCACTCGTCATTCGCTGTCAGCGAGTTGACAGTGTGCGAGTGCCCTTTCAACAATTGATCCTTGTGAAAAGACATCCCCGCAAGGACCTCCAACAGGTCGCGTCCATCGTTGAGGAGACGCACGCTCTCGCACGCGCCAGCAGCCTTTGACAAAGACAGGAAGCCCCTGATCACTGCGCGAACGTTGCTTTCGAGTTCCCGCCGTTTGTCAACACTGGAGAACATCCTCAAGAGCTTGCGGCTTGCTGTGGGCTGCAGTAGCGCCTTCACCTTGTCATCTTGGAGGAGCCGATTCAGGTGGTGCTCTGCCCGTTTCAAACCTCTCTCCAAACTGCTTGGGGACCACTCCAATCCAAGCCCATAAAAGTACCCAGCAACGATGGCAATCTTCGTTGCTTCCACTTTCTGCAGCACAACGCTCAAGAACAACACACTGATGAAGTTGAAATTCGATCGGGCTGAGACAGATGCCAAAAAACTTGCACACCCCAATGCCAAGATAATGGACTGGCGAAACGCTGGCGAAACTACCCCTGTAGTGTTGAAAATCTTGTTCTGTGTTGGAACATCCTATATCGTGCTTATTCTGAGTTCCTGGTGTGGACAGACAAGTTCCCAGCAGGAGCTTGTCCTGTGTGGAGAATATTTGTACTTCAATACCTCACAAAGTTCGAGGCAACACATGTTGGCTCAAAGCCTCCCAGATTGCCAGTCACCTGCAACATGGTGGGCACGACACCGAACGCATTCACAGCATGCTCCTCAGCTGTCTTGTAATCCTCCCTGCTCTCTCGAACGCCATCAATGGTGGGACTTGTCCCCTTCACTGCCAGCTGCAAATACTGCAACGCAGTCTTCAGGTCCATCTCCCGGAGGGCAGTCAGCCCTTCCTCCTGTCTCTGCAGTTCTGTCGCCACCGAATTTTTGAGGTCCTCCAATTCAGGCTCATGTTCCAGCTGTGAAGAGCAGCGCCCCCGAACGAAAGCCAGGGCAGTTGTCAAGATCATGCCCAGAATCGACTCCATCATCAACATCCTGTACAAGCCCCAATTGTCGGCGTGTGGTAATTGAACTCATGTGTGCTGACACAGGGGCACTTGCACACCGCCATGTACACATGCAACAACAGCCCATGCCACTGAATAGGCAATTGCATGAACTGCATTTCCCAAACAGGCATGACCAACAAGGCCTTTGTACCGTGCAGGCGACCAGTTGTCAGGCCAATGTCCCTGATCGTCATTCCACATGCCAGCCTCCATTCTATGTCTAGCATTCATCGTTTCCAGCTGACTGACTTCGATTGTTGTGTCTAATGGAGAATAGAAAGGCCAGCAAATCCGTCCAATCAACATTTGAAACAGTTTCTCAACGCCCAAAGAAGCCCAAATTCTACACTGAGGAGATGCAGCGCATGGCGGACTGAGGATATCTCGGAAATTTGGCAAAGGCGGATCTGAAACAAGCGCCATAGAATTGCCAATCACTGGAGGAAATCTGCCAGCACGCGCAGCTGCACTTGCTCGCCAAAACTAAGCAGTCGAGACCATGCTCTCTGATGTCGTATGACGGATCAGCTCACACCCTCAAGGAGATTGGTAGTCTGATCACATTACTGGCATTAATGGCGCCCGTAAAACCTGCTACCCCGGGTGAGCGACCACAGCACCACAACGGCTAACGTTAACTTCTCAGCGACGCGAAAGCACAGCTGCAACGCTACCGACAGCGTCTCTTTCTTCGCAATGCCGCGCCACCGGTGGGCGCCTTGCCCTCCTGCGGCAGGCGCCCAGGTGCCCACAGCGCACGAACCCCAATTAGCGACGGTGAAGTCGCTCAAGCCCACTGGCCCTACGGTGGCAGTCCCAACTCAAAATACAAAAGCAGAAAATGGAAATGGCCGCAGCCAACAGCCGTCCAGCGCATCACCGCAATCGGCGCGACAGCGGAGAATGGGGTTTCGTTTGCCGCTGGGGGACCTCGTGCGCCCATCGCTCAATCAGAACCAGGGCGACAGTGCCGGCACTCCAGGCCAGCAGTCAATTGTCAAAGCCGCTGATGCGAGCAAACAAGGGAACAATAATCACACCTGCCACGCCCTGCGCTTGAAGCCCACGCGCGACCTGCCCCCCTGGAGAACGGTCCCTCTCGCACCTGCGGCAAACCGGGGCCTTGGCCGGCACCGATCGGCGGCTTGCCGGCTGCGGAACGACGGGCGTCGGATTGGAGGGCGATCGGGAGGAAAGCGTCCGCACAGGGAGCGGAGGCGCCCGCCCAGCACCTGTCGACCTCGGTTGCCAACTGGGAGGAAAGCGCGCCTGGGAGCCGACGCTGCCTCTTGCTGGGCTGGGATGCTGCGGGCGCTGCGCCAAGCCCGGGAAAACCACTGCCAATCGCAGCTGGCTTCACCAGCTCGCCTGCCGTCGACCGCCCCGCCGCCCGGTTGCCCTGGCGGGACCTCTCCCCCTCCCGCCCCACCCTTCGCCCAATCAAGTCACCGCCTGCACAGATCGCGCCCCTTTCCCCACCCCGTCGCCCCTTCTGGGAATCGCATCCCAGTCCCAAAGCACCAACCGGCGAATCCCCCCCTCTCCCCTTCTCACATTCTCTGTCCGCGACTTGGTCGAAATCTTGCGCAATCCCCTCCTAGCTGCGGCAAAGCCTCATGTCGTCCGACACGCAGAGAAGCCAAGGGGTGCCCAATCCCCACCACCCTGCCCCCGACGCCGGCCAATTCGATCGCGTGCCGCTGCTCGAGTCCGGCATCCCGGGCAGCTCGCCCTCGGGTCCACCCTTTGGCGATTCGGCGCGGTCCATCGACGTCGGGGGGCCGGACGGCGGCAACGAGGGGCAGCCGGTCCGGGAGGCTTTCACGGTGGACGATGCGGTGAACGCGGCGGGCGTGGGATGGTTCCAGGTGCTCATGCTGGCGGCTGTGGGCCTGGCGGCGGCGGGCAAGGGCGCGGCGGTGTCCACGGGGGCGTTCGTCTTCCCGGCGGTGGGTGGGGGGGGGAGTTGTAAGAGGTGTCGGAGAGGTGTGGGTGTGGTGGCGCTGGCCGTCGTTGAGTGGGGTTGAGTGGGTGTGCAATCCTGGGCGAATGTGGGGGCTGCAGTACGTCGATGCAGCGGAGCCTGTGACGGACACAGGCAGCAGGGTACTTGGGGCCCCAGTGAAACCGGCGTGGGTGGGTGGGTGACAATGGAAATGTGCAAAAGGCGTTGAAAGCGGAAAAAGGAAGATGTCCTACATGTGGCGTTACGACAAAAATGTGCGTGTCACTGTCCATGCTATACCTGCAATACGTGACCCATCAAAATGTATCATGGCCACGTCCAGGGCCGCCCATGTGTCGCGACACCGAAAAAAAGGAACTACTCATCGTATTTTGTGGCCGAGTTGGGTGGCAGAAGCCGCTGGGAGGAATGGGTCTGTATTGGAGGCATGCGGTGGGCACCAAGGGAGCAAGTCAATGTTTACAAACAATTGCACAAGTGCAAACTAGTAGGTCCACAGGATAAGAGGACGGAGGTTCGAATTCATATATATCCAAAGCAGCCAATAAGTACTATTATGAGCAATATATACTACTATTCAAATGATACAGTCTACAATAGCAGTTGCTAAAAACAGAGCTGAAACGAACGAAGGAGAGTTTGCCTAAGTAACGTGTTTGGGGGAGACGCTGTCCAGCGGGCGCTATAGTGTTTGTGCCTGGTATCAGATTCCCGGCAATAGCTGATGCACACAAATTGCAGACTCAAACTACTAAAAGTACGACAATGTTGGCAAAAACAAGCACAATGAGTGTCAGCATGAAGTTGTGGGCGACGTGGTTGAGGCGTCACGTTGCATAGTCAATGCAAGGGTCAACATAGCATCGCATCTCTTTGTTGCTGTACCCTTTTGTTTCCAATGTTGCAGCACCTTTGCGTTGTTTAGAGTGTTGTTGCCCAACATTTCAGTGGTTTAATTAGCATTTGTCAATTTTGAGAAAGTAATGCTTGGCTGCTATTGTTCCAATACAATCTAAGCGTGAATGTGAGATTGTGTTGGACGTATAGGCATCTAAGATGCATGTTGACGTGTCAGTTAATCAAACAGATTTAAAGCATGCACAATGTGCATGCGTTTGATGTTGACGTCATCCACATTCTGCCCATCCATTTCTCAGTGCCCCACGATCCAAAGAAAATACCTGTTGTCCAAGCATGGAAACAACCAAGACATCAATGCTTTTGTGTGCAATGATCCAACTAAAACATGACGCTATCAATCTAGTTGCAATGTTCAACGTGGCCATGATACATTCCGATGGGCCCTGTATTTCGGGTATGGCATGCACAGTGACTGCACATCTTTGTGATAACACCACACGTAGAAAATCTTCTTCATGTTAAACAATGGAAAGCAGCCCCCATGAAGTCGTCATATCATTTGATGGTATCAACCTCACAGTGGTGGATATCGAATTTTGTCTTCTTTGGGATGTGAACGAAGTGCCACCCTTGCAAAGTGAGGAAGTACAATTTTGTCTTCCACTTTGCAAGTCTCAGCAGTGTGCACAAACGGGCCCCACGGCCTGTCTGCACTAAGCACTAATGGATGGCTCATCTCAAGCCATGGCTGCTCTTGGAGGGCTTGACACTGTTGTGGTACGGAAGGAGCATTGGTAGCCATCTGACTGACAAAGTGCAGCACAGTATCAGTTGTTGCGTGCCCTGATGCACTCTGGGGCTTCCATATCGTGCTTTGTAAAATGAACTGATGTTTGCTAAGTTCAGGGGAACCAATACGAAATAAAGTCATATGTCACATACATATAGTTCAACGATGGCATAGTCGGAACAATGGTGTGCTGACGCTCACATCAGCTGTACTACATATCAGCCATTACATTGTAAAGAAGCATCTCAGAAGCACTGTTTGGGGAAGGCTGTTAGTTTGGTTGTGCCCTTTAGGCTCTGTGAAACCTCTGGCTGTTAGATGATGCCTTGATGCTGGGTGTGACTGGTAGTGAAACGCCAGTATTGAGAGTGTTATGTTCAAATATTATGTTGCATTGAGCTCACTGGAAAGTGAAATCAGTTTCAGGTTGGTTTTCCTGAAATGTTGTGGATATTTGGTGCAGCCTTTAGAATTGTGAGTGTATGTCAGCATGTGCCTTTCCTGTCAGTATAATTTGGTCCCCAGAAATAGGAAAGAGGCAGCCAAATAAAATGGCAAGGAAATGGTCCCAAGTACACAAGTACATAGTGTAAAACCAAATACAAACAAATACGCAGTGCAGCACAAACGAGACCTTCCCAGCCCCGCTTTTGCTTTTTCATTTGCCAAGTAATTCTTCACCAGTGCACAAACCTCTCTGCCTTTTCCCTGTAGAAATAAGGCAACATTTTCTGTGTCTTCAAAAGTACAGTATTGTTGTGTATTGTGCAGCAAGTCACACACAGTAGTGGACACCATTGTATTTATGTAGCTACCACATTGACGTCATATCAGCACCCATTTGGGTGAAGCAAAAGCAACTGCGTACTGAACCTTGTGTCCGCTGTGTCCATAAAAGTGTTTCTGTTGGAACGATGACAGTGCTAATGGCACTTTTGTTTTAACGTTGTCCCCCTTGTTTGATGCAGAGCATACTCAGCATGCTGAAGTGCGAAGTCGAATGTTCTGAAGTCTTCAGATATGCCCACTATGCATTATGTATCCCTGAATTTTGGGGATCCTGTTCTTGAAGCAGCGCAATTACTGACTTGGCAAAGACTTTTCTGCTCTGGCTGCAGGTGAAGTGTGAATGGGACCTAACCGACCAACAGGAGACTGCAATAGCCATTTGCAACAGCTTTGGGAAGATGGTTGGCTCCTTTTGTTGGGGAGCTTTTGCAGACGTGGCAGGCCGCAAAGTGTCGTTGGTTGTTGCAACCCTGGGAGGCATACTTACCAGCACAATTGCAGCAAATTCCCCCAATGGAGAGGTCAGCCCAGTGGATTTGAAGTCTGAAAATCCAAATCATTCGAAAAATAATGTGACAATGGCTGTTGGTGCTGCATTTTCAAGAGTGGACGCTACTCTAGCCCTGACAGATGGTGTTGCTGTTGTTGCGATGCCTGACATGTGGGGTTACATCCTGACATATAGCAATGCCTCCAAACTGTGGAGTTGATGTACATTCTATGTATGTTTCAAACACACTTGTATGTGCGTGGAAATTCACAGATGAGGCTCATAGTTATGCTCTCCTACACTGCTTGTCTTTGGGCTTTGGCAAGCTTGTTGCCATTTAGCTATGCTGTCTAGGGCAACTCCAAGCTCTGATTAAATTGGATTTTTTGTATGTATATTGGATTGTTGCTTATAAATACTTTCATATATTCATGTTTTATGATTGATCATCTTCACCATGACGCTCATAAATTCTCACTTGTCAACAACTGTTTCTTGCAAATGAATGTGTGAATCAAGATGTTGCAACTGCCGCAAGCGGCTCGGTGGATTTTTGATATCAGCTGCAGCAGCTTTTGGTGCTTGAAAATTTGCCAGCATTTGTGGGCATCTCTGGCTAGTATGCAGAAAGTCTATCATCTACTTGAATCATGTTTTGCATTGAGAGTTCATGAATGGCATCTTTTGGTTCCTTGCGAAGTCAACCTTCATAATAACTTGTGACTGTAGAATCACGTTTACATACTTTTTGGCAGCAACTAATCACAAGCAATTGCCATAATGGGTAAATTGATGCTGAATGAAAAGTGTTTGCATGCATTATTTGCACCTTGGCCACAACTAACGCATGAAGCAGCAGCATGAACACTTCAGCAATATCAGAAATGCTTCCAGTTGGACATGTGCACATGAACAAGATTATGGAAATGTTTCCTGTGATTAGCGGAGCTCCAAGGATGAACGGTAAACTGAAGTTGTTGCATTGAAGTACGAATTCTGTATATTATTATCCTGGTCTCAATTTGAGATGTTTTTGTGCTCGCTGTAGATTGTCAGTGTCAAAAGTAAGATTGGTCGAATTGGAGCCCCACTTTGTGTATGCTCCCCATCCCTGCACATGTTGCAAATTTGCCCTCTCAATGTAATGTTATTACAGCAAAACACAACATAGCTTGTGTTTTTCAACTTGAAGCACAGTGAGGACATCTTTTCTTATTTCTGATGCACAAGCTGTTAATGTGTCAATTTTCAATGTTCTATAAAGACATGATGCCTAGTCTTTGGCAGCATGAAGTGGTTCAATAATGGTTCCGGCAATGGACTGTTTGTTGGCTTTGTTCAAGCACGGGATGAGTGTTTCATTAGTATTACACCCACAGAGAGTTGAAATCTCGGGACTATAAATGATGATTATTCATCTGCGGATGCTTGCTTTTCCAAATTGGATCTGAATGACAAGTTACAAGGTTTGCATGCCACATTCTTATTATTTGAATGCATTCAAGCTGTGCATTGTGTAGTCCAATAGGGCTGATAATTTGAGGATGATTTGGGGAAACAAGCAATAATTCCTTAAAGAAAGGCAGTGCTATTTCATTCAATATGCTGAGCAGGCTTTCTTTTGCTTTGCAAAGATATTGTGCCACCGAAAATTTGTGTTTAGGCTTTCAATGAGAAGTAGCACAATGATGTGAAAGTGTACATGTGTGTGTGTGTGTGGTTTTCCCAGTGGTTGGCATTCTTCTATTTCTTCGTTGGCTTCGTGCTGGCAGGCCAATTTTCTGACTTGACGTATCTGCTGGAGTTCGTCCCAACTGCAAGGCGCGGCCAATGGGGCATTGGATTTGGCTTTTTCTGGAGTCTGGGCATAATGTTCAATGCAGCTGCTGCCTGGGGCATCATGCCCACCGGAGGCTGGCAGGCAGTGATGATGTTTGCTAACATACCCTATGGTGAGTGAACATGCTGTGCTAAATGCACCAATGAATGTTTGACCTGTGCTAGCATGGTACATAGGGCGTTTTCTTGTTCATTGGATGTTGCATGTGCTCAGTGCTGTGCTGTACTCTGACTGGAAAATTGGGCATCTTAGAATTTATTTTGCGCCCAGACTATAGGCAGAAATTAATGCCTACAGCAATAGCGTTTCATCGTTGTTGGTGGATGTCCAAAACCACTGTAGAGGGGTGCAGGTATCAATGTTGCCTAATGTTGGTGTGAATTCCAACATTGTCTGAATGTTGATGCCTGGTCCCTGCTTCCGCGTTGTTTAGTGCTGAATCGGCTATGGTGCACCTACAGTGTTGCCAACACCTGCAACACTTCAATTTGTGCTCAATTGCAGACGTATATGGTTCACTGTTGCCTTGTTAGTATCACAATGAATTTTGAAGATTCGAATTTTGGCATGAGTTGCAGTTGTGTTGATTCCATGTTCATCTGCAAAGCTGAAACGTTGCAGTGTAAAGAATACTGAATTTGTGTGATTTGCTATGTTTTGTTCCTAATACATATACAAAAGGTCTTCCTTGCATAGTAAATGATGCCAATCAACACGGATAGGTTTCTGGGCCTTGTTAATGTTAAGAAAGCTTTGTTTGAGGGTTTTGCAAATTTGAATGCGTGCATTGGATTGCTCTGCAGTGCTGGCACTCATTCTGCTGCCATTTGTTCCTGAATCACCACACTACCTTGTAGCCGCTGGGTATCCAGACAGAGCACGGCGTGCCCTGGCCAAAGCTGCAAGAATCAACAAGGCACAACTGCCAAATGGGGAGCTCCTAGCAGTGGCAGGAATGCGACAAGGTCAGAAGAGATTGCCATCACGAACCAAGGCTGCTATCAAAGACATCGAAGCATTCTTCCAAGAGGCCAAGAGGTATGAACAATGTTTTCAGCAGGTTGCAACACCATTCAAAGGAAAGAATCCACATATGTGGCATGGCACTGGCCATGTAATGGCGTTTATGTCGTCTTGAGACAGGCATTCGCCAACAGTTTCCCTCATCACACGCACTGGCTGGAAACAACTCTGATGCCATCACAGTAACCATTGTGGATAGTTTGCAGTGTGCCAGAGGATATTGGCATGATTATTAAATGGACAAACTGGCTCAAAGAACTATCAACAGTTGTGGTTGAATTGTTCAATGTAGTCTATGTAAGTGATTTGACAAAAAAATATATGTTTGTGCTATGTGTCAGAAGCTTCAACTCCATGCCCATCTGCATGCACAGAAATTGCCCTAACCATGTGCAAAAGATGCTTGTGGGTCATGCAACAAGGGAGGTTGTATCCCATGAGATCATGTAGAGGATGTTGCAAGACATATATGCACCATTGTGCACTACCATGTGTATTTGTACACCCTTATTCGAGTGTTGGTATGCCATGGTGGCCTTTGCAATAGAACACAACATTCACGTCCATTTTCTCCAATCAATGGCTGTCATATGCGCCACTGAATGGAAAGTCGCTTGAAACAACTTCACACACGCCAATGCAATGGAGAGAATAAAAAAATGCAACAACTCATTTCAAAAAACCATTCAGTCAACAGTATGTTTTCTGGAATTGCAGCACTGATGCAGTGGCAAAACATACAGCAAGTAGTACTATGGAATCTAAAGAAATATTGGGTGACTCATCTGAATCCATGAAAGAACTCACGAATGCTTTGCTACCTTTTTGGATTGTCTCCCAAAACATCTAAAGTTGGGCAATTGCAGCTGTACCCAATGCATGCAGAGGAACTTACGAAAGTGACAGGCCTGAAGTGGGGTAGTTCACTGCACATTTGCCCAGCAGAGACTCAGGACTAACGATTTTGAAGTGCTTAAGTAGGTCCCAAACTGACACAGTTTGGACCTCTGACAGGTACATACCATCATTTGTTGTCTGTGTGATTCCAACGGTTTTGTACCCACCATAGCGATATGCTATACCATTGTGTCTTGTTTCACACAAGCTATTATGACACCATGTGTTGTGTGCCACTGTCAAGGCAACTACCTTCATGGCACATTCTTACACAATTTGCAACAATTTTCTGAGTTTCTATGGATGGGTAGGGAATTTTTCACATTGAGCACATGGGTATAGACACAATGTCCACTCGTTGCTCCCTATGCATCTGCACATGGTCAGGGTGAATTTGTAGTATCCTGTTGTTCACATGTTTTCAACGCAACTCTGGTACATGTCTGCAAGGACACCACACTATTCTTAGCATTTCTGTAACATTTGGAATGCACAGTTTCCAGTGTCTCAAATTTCATCACTGCTTCTTCTGCTTGAAAGACTTGATGGACCAACATGATTGAGGTATTTTATAAAAGGTGTTTATTTCTTGTTTGGGCCCACAAATTGTGGCCACTTTTTCTGAGTTCGTGTTCTGTTGTGGTCATATTTGTAGATTCTGATTGGGCAATTCACTGATGGTCTCTCGCTCCTAAAGCAAAGTGCACTGTTGTAGTGTCCTGGCTCAGTTCCGCTTCAACTCATGGCATGCTGCATATGCACGATTCTGAACACTTTCATGTGATTTGTATCTTAGAGTATGGTACCCTTTCCTACCATATAGAATGATTAATGCTGTTCAACTGTTGCCCAGGGTGATGGGCAAGTCAATGAGGAAAGTGACTGTGTTGGTGATGGTGGCATGGATTGCTTCTCACACAGTCTACCACATCATCAACCTCCTCAATACAGAGATCCATGCAACACATCGCTGCCAAGACCGAGTTTTAAACCTTTCTGACTCTGCTTTTCGTGATGTCCTTATTGTGTCATCTGCTGACACCATTGGAAACATCTTCCCATTCTTTGTCATTGAGTGGTGGGGCAGGAAACGGTGAGTGCAGAAAGTGTGCGTGCAGTATTTCACAAGAGGCACGAAAATAGATCAAAGTATGAAGTGCCAGGAATGTTTGATGCAAATGCAGTGTTTCATGGCATGGTACATCAACCAACATGCCATGTCCATCGCATGATCATGGATGTAATTCAGCAAATTCATAGTACTTGCATCTCTTCTAAGCTCAAGGTCCATGCAGTGCATGTACCCACAATGCCAAGTTATTTCTATCCGTTGTTCTCATTTTCATGTCAATGATACCCATTTCCGTCAATGTGCTTTCGCCCAAAGCATTATGAGGATCATGTGCTTGACTTCGCTATCACCCTCTTCTATTGGGTCCATGAATCTTAACCATCACCTTGGTGTGATGTTTTCACTTGGGATGCCCTCGTTGCTTTGGCAGTCCGATTTCAAATGTCCCCATGCTCCTCTTGCAGACACATACATTTGCACATGCTTTCAGCATATGGAAAAATTATGACAACTCAGCATTGGATGTGAGTAACCAATGCCTTCTTTTCATAAGCAGCACCAAAGCACTGAGTCCTAAGTTCACTGTGCCGAGTGCCAGCTATTCCATCCGCTATGCACCAAGGGTGCATTCAACTACACTACTGAAACACAGTGGCTAAGTTTCCACCATCAGCAAGTGGCTGAAAGAGCTGCAGTATTTTGCGCGCATTAGCAAACGCAGTCTGAGAGCTTTTGCACCATTGACACTTGGGTTTTCTTTATTTTTATATGTTTCATATCATTTGACAAAATTAACCGACCATATGTTGCTTTTGAAGGTCCATGTTGGCGCTGGCTAGCGGGGTGATGTTGACACTCCTGCCTCAGATGATAGTGCCCAACGGGCTGGATCCCACATGGACACTGGTGGTGTCTAGATCGCTGCTGCATGCGGCAAATATGGTCCTGGCAATCTACACACCGGAAGTGTACCCCACGAACCTCCGAGCATTTGCAACAGGTCTTGGCCACACCCTGTCTGCGTTCGCTTCAATGTTAGCACCTTTCGCTGCACAGGTGCGTCTTCGGAATGTGCCTGGCCCCTATAACACAGGACGAGAACAATTGTTGGGATAGCACCACGTGGTGGCCAGATTCGAATCGGGGCCATCCCGTTCCAAGATGCCCCACATTGTGATTTCACAGTTTTTTGCAAATTGCTTTGTGCACATTTCCAGCTATTCGAAGTTGCCCAAGACTAGCAATGCAGTGCCACAGCAACTTGATATTGGGTTTTCCTGTTGTGCTTTATGATGAAGCTTTCTGTGTTTGAAGCTCGTTTCTTGACCTCTTGCCTCGTTGACGTGATTTTGACGTTCCCAGGCGCTTGATGATAGCAATTTTTTGATTTCCCTGTCCCGTATGTAATGTCCTGTATTTGAAAGACATAATTCATTACCAAGACGACCAAAAAATTATAAAGAGAGGTCGGAACTGGTCAGGTTGGGCCCCAGACCCCTTTGCTATCAGATTTAAAGAAGAGAAAGTGAGCCCTGGCGCATTTGGGCGGCGATCGAAAAGTAAGCTTTGGTCGTGTCTGAGTGAAAGTTTCGAACTTTATTAGGCAGAGGAGCAAAGTGCTAATTAATTGACTTGATATTTTGAACACATGCTCCAAACTCACAAGCACAGCTTTGGATGAAATAACATTGGGGATTAGCAGCAAATAACTCATGCATTGTTGCAAAACCTCCATCAAACTGTCATCATAGTGGAAGTCCTTAGAATGGATCAATTTGCAGGCTTTTGGGCTGCTCTCATCACCTGTCATGGCTTTTGGCATCCCATTTTTCAAATCACGACGATCGCTGCAAATTTAAATATGCTGTTTTTCCTTTAGAACTGTTTAGAAGTTGTGTTGCATCATCGGGTAATGTTGGTGAGTCATCCTGGCATCAAAATAAGGAATGACGCTGAGGAGGGGCTGGGGGGTTGGGGTGGGGTGGGGGGCTGAGCTTAATACCAGTTTGGCGCCAAGTGTACAAAGCCAAAAATATTGTCTGCCCTACGGGGCTGAACTCTGTGGACGGTGGACAGTTGTCAATATCACTGGCCAGCCACGTCGATACTACACACATACACTTGTGCATGTGTATGACTGCTAATGCACCTTCAGCATTGCGTCCAAGCATCTTTCCAGTAGCCAATAGTCTTGCAAATGGAAATGAATCCATACGTTCAAGAGCCCAGTGGCCTTTCGCCAGAGGTTTCTTCCCACTGCATCAGGAGGGATGAACCAATAGCCTCGTGCAAACAGAAAAGGTCGACCTGACATTTGCGGCATAGCCAGCCTGGCTGATGGGTTCCAATCCAGCGGGTTCTCCCGATTGTGGCAGAAGCTATGGGCATGGACTTGAGCGGGAGATTGGGCAAGCCGTTCTTGATGTTGCCTAGTAGAACGCGCAGCGACACTCGAGAGTATAATGTCTTCACCAGTAGGATGCAAATCCCCCAATTGCCGCATCTCGGGGCCGGGGCAGTTCTGTCCACCCAAGTCCAAACTAAAGAATACCAAAATTAAACTAAACGATATGAGCTTCTGGCACATGCTGTGGGTTGAGCCGGCGCATGGTGCTCAGGGCCTTTATCACAGTTTTGGCATCCGGGCTCCAGCGGCCATCGCAGTGGTTGTGGCCAAGATCTACATGTACTCGGCGTGGAGGCTTCCAGCTGACACCACCGGCAAGGCCCTGAAGGATGTGGTGGACGAAGGCGAGGCGCCTCCGAGGACGGACAAGCGAGGCACATTGGAAATGCAGCCGTACAGCCCTGTCAAGGGGGGCCCGGGCGAGGAGGATGGCGATTCGTAGGTGCTGCCAGAGTGTGCCTTCTGCACGATTTCGATCTCAGCACTGCGATCGCGTTATTGTTCTGCAGACCGTGTCGACAAGCTGGCATAAGAGTTAAAGAGAAGGGATGGGCAAGAGGGAGGGGGGCGGGGATATATAAGTTACCGCAGCCGTTCCCTTGGGCAGCAGAGGCTTTTGATACGCTGTGTTACAATGGCAGGGACGGTGTGTCGTCATTCTTGCTTGTACTCCGTGCTTTCGTGACGTCAGGATACCCTTCCCGCCTTCAGGCTCGTGGGCTTGTTTCGTCTTGTCCACCAAGCTAATACATTTTGCCGCCGCTCTTGAGTTGACACTGCCAGGCGCACTAGTGTCGATGCCGATATTTTGTGCACCTTGGGAGCCGCCGTGGATGGGACTAAGCGCGAGTGTGTGAGGATTCTTTCTTGTTCACCAGGGTTAGGGCGGAGATGAGCTGTGCGATGTTGTTGTGCAGCAAAGGAGTAGAATCCCTGTTAAATTAACCCGGCTTTGCATGAACTTGTTGCACGTGGGTTGAACAGGCGCACCAATGACGTGGCAATGAGCAGCACTGAAGTATTCAAATGTTTCGTTGACCGGCTTCGCTGCCAAACCTCGCCACAGGTGTCTTAGGGACTTAGCTTGCTACGCAACCCTGGTACGTGAGATGTAGTGGGGCCGTAACGAAATTTCTCTCAAGTCAGGTATTCTGTGCATGGGGCCAGAAACATCTGAAAGGGCAGTATTCGTTGGTGCATCTGCAACACAAAACTGTTGCCAACGTTAACATCACCTCCTCCCACAGTGTGCGTTCAACACACAAATAGACCATCCGGTACGTGTGCATCCCCATCGATCTTGAAAACAACTGTTGCAGCGCACAAATCACCACAATCTCACAGTCAAGGTCACCACACACAGCACGCACATGTCTCCCATGAAAGCATGGCCGCCCGAACAGTGCAGCTGCCAATGGAATGGGCGACCAATCTCGCCTCAAAGAATCAAGGAATTAGAAATGGCCAGCATGCGATCCCCGCACGCCCAAATCCCGAACAAAGAATCCCAAATGCGCCGGTGACCTCACGCCGTTCCAGGAGGTCAGGTCCCAAACGCTCGCTCCTCAGCACAAGAGATTTTTTTCCCAGGCATTCCCCTCGATAATCACAGGATGCCCATTCCCACACCAATGCAAAAGCTTCCTCAAGCACTATCAACAACAACACTTGCAGCAACCAACCTAGAAACCTTCCTCCCAGAAGAGCCCCTTGCAGCCACCCTCACTGCTTGGCAACGGTTGACCTTGCATATTCAGCAACGCTGCCAAGGTCCACTGGCATCAGCTCCTCCAAATTTGCCCCTCGCTCCCACAAACTCTTAACAACTTTCGAAATTCTGAAGACGCCTAATTTCGGAGGCGCTCTGTCAACAGCACCACTAGTACGTGTCCCTCACCTCATCTGCTGTCATCCCCACCCCCCTGGGGCACCTGATCGAAGGCCCGGCTCGTGCCTGCCCTGGGCCGTACACGCGCTCGACCGTCGACACTGGCCGCAGGAAGGCGACGATGACCGTCACGTTGTCGTGGCTGCCCCGGGCTATGGATTCAGTGGCCAGGCGCTGGGCGCTCATCTGGGGGTTCTTGACGGTGTCGTAGACCAGGCCTGCGGAGAAATAGGGAGCACCCGTCAAATAAAGTATTACAATGCGAGGGGGGGATGTACAGGGTATGTAGGAAACATGGGATCTACGAAATATATGGGATATATGGGATGTACACAGGTGACGGGGGAGAAAGAAGGAACGCCATCTGGAATTGCACTCTGAAGATGCATGCTGTGGACAAGGTGCCCTGTTTCTGCCCCGCACGACGCCCGTGAACCACGGTTTGATGCTCCTGAGCGCGTCTTGAATACAAAGCGCAGCGTACTATAACTTAATGATAAAGAACAGCGACAAGGATGACATGGATAGTTGATACTCAGAGTGCTATTAGTACTGTTAACAGCACCGAAATTGCCATAGTGGAACCAACGCCTAAAGCGACAAGAGAATAGCCCTAACAGTACATCTTGGCACAAGTGCTGAAGTCCTGAGGTGCACGGCACGTCTCAATTTTTGATCATCATACAACACTAGAATGCAAATGCGAATGTAAAGGTCAACTTTATGTTCTGAACTGTCAATTTTGCACCTATTCCGGATTGGGGTGTTGCACAAAGTGGGGACTGAGAAGAGGAGTTAGAATTTGAGCAATGCAGCCCACATCAGCAACGCCAGGCAGTTCATCCACTGCTTCGTGCCACTCTATTGCTTCGTACATACGACCCTACATTTTCGTTCTCTGACTCGCCTTCTAAGGGTTAAGTGTTGTGCGCCAACAAAATCAACCATCCACCGTGAACACATGTAGAACAGATTAATCGACATGATTCGCATTCCTGGGGCCATATTCACCAGCTGTTGATGTGCAACACAAAGCTCAGTGGCTGCAAGCGAGTGCAGGAATGGCGGCAGGGGCTGCAGGTCCGCACCTATGGCTTCGTCATTGGTGACTGTGTCCCAGAAACCATCTGTGGCCATAATGAGGAACTCGTCATCTGCACCAAGTTCCACCACCGACACCTCGGGCTCCGCAGTCACTCCAAAAGGCTTGAGGTCTTCATCACCGATTGACCTTGCGACCTTGCAAGACGAACAACAAGCAAAGCCATGACCCAATCAGCAAATAGGCAGCGTTGCCATTCGATCGGCAATCAAGCTCCTTCGAAACACAGACACTCGTTATCTTTAAGCATTGCAGACACAAATTTTCACTGTTCCAAGACTTCCTGGTGGCCTTAAAGCGTTGCGTTGCATCACAGGACGTTCTCGAAAGACAAAGCTGCCTGGCGAATGCAGAAGCATAGCACCATGGTGTAACAATTATGTGTGGCTGATCAAACAGGACAGCAATAAGACAAAGATGCTTAGAGCGGCGCATTGCAAGCGTACTGTACTGAGAACACACTTACCCACCTGCATTCGCCCTGCGTTCACAATAACATGCAGCCAGGCATAAGACAAGGGCAAAAAAAGACATGCTGCAGTGCCAACGGGCTAGTACCTGCATGCCGGCCTTTCCAACCCTCCATCCATCGACCCTCCAGCTCACTGTCGCACCAGCTGCAACAAGACGAGCACGCTCGGCGTCATTGTTGGCTGTGTGGTCAATGGTGCACTGAACTGGCACCCCATTCCGGCAAAGCACAGCTCTGCAGTCACCTGTCACACCAAGAATGCACAGGAGGAGTCAGTCACAGAAAGGGGGCTATGGAGCAAATGACAAAGCTGAAAATTTGCACCAAACACATGTGCATGGAAACTTTTACCTGAACTGCCTGCTAGTTGTAAGCACAATTCCCAGACAGGCAAAATTGCAACAAAAAGGTTGCTGCATGACTGGCTGCAGCCATTGACCATACTGCGTTGAATAAATGCAGAACTAAACGGTGCGTATGCATGCAAGCAGACACTAGCAGCGAGGATTGTGAACTAAACTTCTTGAACAAGCACAGAGGTATTTGAAGAGCACATGAACCCACTTGACAGGCGCAAACACTGCACTGTTGCATATTTGATGAATGCAAGGAACACACATTCATGCAGCCAGCTCCCATGGGCAGGTGCCAGTGTGGTGTACCTGCATTTGCCAAGACCAAGAGCCTGCCCCAGAGCAGAGCGGCAAGTGCTGTGCACCCTGGGAACCTGGTGCTGTTGGTCGTGCTGATGCTGGCATCCCCTGAGCTGGCAAACCCTCTCTCTACTGCAGCAAAAGCAGAAGACAATCCCCGCTCTGGTGCACATTCAGAGGCAAGACATTGGACCAAAGTGGCAGGAAGGCTGCTGGCAGCAAACTCAGCGGCTTCATGGCCTCGATGGCCATCGAATACGCCTGCACCCACACATGAACTTCGAATCGGATGTGCCCCAAACAGCATATTGAACATCGCAACACAGAACGGCTACTATGTATTTGAAGTTGTGCACAATGCCACTGCAGAAACAATCCAATCGACGTGACAACAGGGCATTGGATTAATGTCCAAGGAGGGAAGCTAGTGATAAAAGACACCACAGCGGCCAGATTACTTGCATGAGGGTGATGCAGTCCTGTATGCCCTAGCACAAAATATTGCAATACTGGCAATGCAAGGGCCTGCAACCCACGCTCCTGGCAAACTCACCCAGGAGGCTCGCTTCCCGGAAGCCCATGAACTGCTCAGTGATGCAGTACCGGTCCTCCATGCGATCCTCGCCCCGATGCCCAGCAGATGCATATGCCCCTGCCACCACTGTGGGCAGGTATCCACCAACAACGATTGGGCCTGTTGCAGAGCACGCACCCTCACTGACAGCTGGAGCTCCACATATCTCACCAAGTGCCGCACCCCTCTCCCTCAGCACCCTTGTGTCGCTGGACCTCAACTCATGAGAAGAACAACGTGCAGTGGCCAGTCGACTGACGTTAGAAGATCTGTCTGACTCAAGCCTTGGAATGTCCACACACCCAGCTGACAAATCCTTCACTCTGCCCAATGGCCCCACATCGCAATACATGACATTCTCCCGCTGTGTGACCAGCCTCTGGATGCTGTTCAGTGCCTTGCACACCTCGGGGAAAGTTGGCCTGGACCCAGGGTCCACGTTCCAGCAGGCCCTCATCAGCTCTGCATACCCAGGTGGCATGCCCCCCTTGGGCAGGCTCGGCCTCAGCCCCTCTGCCGCCACGGCCACAGCAAGCTCCTGCCGGCCGTAGCCCATCTCCAGCACTGTGTGAATGTCGGGGTTGGCCTTGCAGCAGTCTGAAAAGGGGTACACGCCTGTGGCAACCTCGTTCAGCATGATGGCAAAGGCATAGACATCAGAGGCAGTGCTGTGGGACTGGCTTTGCAGCACTTCGGGTGCCATGTATTCCAGGGTGCCAACCTATGCAGATACAAGCACAGATTCTTGATCTTGAACCTTTTGAATAAAGGTGAAAAATGGCAGACAATGGGCATGCCGCTTACAAAGAACAACTTTATGAGAATCTTTTCTGTGCAGTAGTGTTAGAGTGAAGCAGGAGCAGCAAACAACATATATGAACAGCACATATGGTAAGAACACCTCTTTTGGCTGCTGTTTGTTGTTCATGTGAAGACCTAGGTCTGAGGCTCAAGGCTGAGGCTTCAGATCCTGACTTAAGGATGCTGAGTTTCTGAAGTGCTGTGGTCGACCAGTGGTCAGGGAGGGAAAGAGCTGCAAGCACTGGGGCACATACTCATGGTGGATGACTGCATCCTTACCAGGAACTGCCAAACTGATATAAAATTTGCTCTCTTGGCAGGTACTAGGCCGGAACCCCGCGCGTTCCATGCGCAATGCGCACCTGTGGGGTAACCCGGCCCATGGGATGCCCACACTTGAATTTCGATTCTTCAAATTACTGCATTTCTAACTTAAAAATAATTGTGTTCTGCACGTTACATGGCAAGGAAATAGAGGAAATGGAGGAAATAGAGGAAAGCAAAAAAAATAGAGTGAAAGGATGTCCGCAACTTGTTTGCTATCTTGGCAGGTATCACAACTGGGTACATTCATGTGTTGTGTAGTGTTGGAGTCAGCAGCAAACAGCAGGACCACAGACATTCAACCATACACTGTGGATAGTCACTTGTGTAATGTCACCTTGAAGACACAAAGGCATTGTTTTTGTCCCAAAAAATGGCAAGCCCACTTCTAGATGACTTCCATTTAGCTGGGACCCCATGATGGATGACATGGCGTTCCACACAAGTACCTGAAGGCAGTCGCAGTGACAAGAGGACACTGCCATTTTGAAGAGGCACGGTGCCTTTGTTTTGTTGCTTCCCCTTTATTGCAGTGTGTGTGGATTTGGTTAGACTGTCCTTGGGGTTGATGCAAGAAAGTTGGAACTTTCCTAAGGCCCTCTTGTGACCACAAGGTGCAAATTCCTCTGCACCAAGCTGTGTGAGGTCACACAATGGGATTCGTCAATGGCTGTCAATTAGATTGCAAGCACCAACACCACAACACGTTGTGCCCCCACCAAAGCTCCAATTCCTACTTGTTTGTGGTGGAAACCAGAGAATGTACAGTTCAGCCATTGTCGTTGTCAACAACTTTCTAGCAGTTCAGATTAGGGTTTAGGGTTCGCCATCTGCAAAACGACGGTGGGAGTCAGCAACAACCTTGGGCGAATTACTGGATGCCCAGAAGCAGATACCCCCCACCCCGCCCCCCACACACACCGTGACGAGTTGGTTCTTGTGGACACCCCTGTTGTACATGTCTGTCGGTTTGGTGCACGCATATTGCTTCCGAATTAATTCTTGCCGATGGTGACACCTATAGCACTGCGAAGCTGAACAGGGCCCAACCTCTTCTGCTAGGACGGGGGTGCTCCTATATGACTGTGGTTTCTTGGGATTGTGACATATCTAAACATACACACTTCTTGCACTGGAGCCTCTATGCCAGCACTGTGCACAATGGCACAGACTCTCAAACACACACTTGCTCCCCGGGAGGGGGGGGGAGGGGGGTGGGTGGGTGGGTGGGTGAAGGACTCATTTATTGTCCTTTCTACCAAATCTTATTCTTCCCTTTTTCCACGCCAAGCCCCAGTCATTTTCTCTCAAATTCCGATTTCACACTTGCCAACGGTGGCACCACAGCACTGCAGAGCAGAACAGGGCACGCTGCATACTTGCTTAGGATGGTGTGCTCCACTGTATGACCTGCGTTGTGGAGAACTCAATACATCTTGACACACATACTTGCAAAGGAGGGGTGCTCTTTGCGGAACTCGTTCGTCGCCCTTTGCAACAAATCTCACCCCTACCTTCCCCCACACCCGCCCACTTGCTTAGGAGGTGCTGCCCTTTTTATGAACTCTCCTTTTCTCTTGCAACAAATCTTAAGCTCACCCACACTCACCATCCTGCCCTTGTGGAACCCGCCCGACGGCTTTCCCCTCACGCTCCTCCTCTCGCCTCTCTCCCGCCCGCCACCGTGCTCCACGCCACCCTTCCTCTCCGCAATCCCAAAGTCCACCAGCACCACCCTTCCGGGCTCCCCCCTCCACAGCGCGTTCCCGGGCTTCACGTCGCGGTGCACCACCCCCGCCCGGGCCACATGCTCCAGAGCGCCCGCCAGAGCAACTCCAACCGCCGCGACGTCGTCCCAAGCCGGCGCCCACCGCCGCTCGCCGTGAATCATCTCAGCAAGGCTGGGCCCTTCCCGCGGCAGGATGGCGAAATAATCCGGCGGCAGGGCGCGCCCGCCGATCGGCCGTATCACGTTGGGGTGGGACAGCGATGCCAGGATCGCCAGTTCGTTTCTGAACCGGTCCAGGTCCGGAGATGAGCGAATGCGGGGCCGCTTGACTGCCACGGGGGTGCCAGCCCAATCGCCGGCCAGGACGTCGCCCTGCGCGCCCGAGGAGAGCTTGGAGTCGATTCGGACCTCGGCGGCCGGGACAGCCAGTGGGATGGAGGATGACGCGCCGGCGAGGCGCGCTGCAGGCCAATCGCCACGCTTGACGGCGGACTGCATCTCGGCCAAGGCTTCAGACACCGACAAGCTGGGGCGCATGGGCGCCGAGACGCCCGGCGGCGGCATGTCGAGCGGCATGCGAGGGCCGGGCTCGGCCGCCGGCCGACAGAGCAAGGAGAGGCGAGTGGGATGGACGAAGGGAAAGGAGGGTCGTGGGGCGAGGCGCGGCGGGCGCGCAGCAGCAGCGGGTGGCTCGTTTGGGGGGTGGCTTCGGCCGACGCGGAGGTGTGCGCCCAACATGGGGCCCGGACGTGGGGCAGTTGCGGGCTTTTGCGGACGACGCGCCTCGTCAGCAGCCGCGTGTCGCGCTTTGGACCTCGCAATGAGAATCGAACGCCGCAGAGTGCGCCACGGGAAGGAACGCTCGTGCTGTGGCAAATGCTGCTAGGCCGACCACAAGTCTCAAGGGGGTGTGTGTTAGTCCATCTCCCCTTATCCCTTGGAGATGTCTGAACACCGGTGCCCCCCCGCCGGGCGCAATGTACTAGTGCTTGTCGTCATTTTCCGCTCTCGGAGTGTCTCGAGCAGAGGAGCAGTCGACGGACGCTGAGCTTGGAGGTAACTGCCAGAGCCCGCAGCTCCGGCAGAGACGTCGACATAGAAGTCGGTCAGATGGCGTGTGTTTGGTTGGACTGAGAACTGGATTTGCAAAGAGTTTCCAGCCATGAGCCGAAGCTGTTGTTCAAATTTGAGCTCAACGTAAGTTGCTATTAACTGCTACCAATTACTTTTAATTGCTACTTCAAAAATAGTAAACTAACCCGAGGCAATCGAGGCGTACTGAGCGCAGAATTCCAATAGCAGGAATTCAGGATTGATACAGCAATCAGGCCTGCGATCAGGATTGATGCTGCAAGGACGCAGACCCTGTAGGCGTGCGCAAAACAATCGCATCTGCACAGCACAATTCATTGCACAATCTTCAGCTGGCCCTTGGATTGGCAGTCGGCACGGTGCGCTGTTGGAATACGCATTGAAGGGCATTGATGACGTCTGTCGACCTCGGCAGCATCCTGGTCAAGAGGGTGGCGGGCGAAGCAACGGCACCGTGCAGTGATGCGTCAAGCGGCCAGTTGAAGCGCCAAAGAGCGCACGCGGGGGGACCCCGTAATGTGGACAAGTGCCGAGGAATGGTTGGATTGTGGGGATTGGAATGTGGGGAATGGTTGGAAAAGGATACCCCGTATGTTTGGAAGGCGCAAACTCTTGCCGCGCAAATGCTGAAAACCTCAAGCCCGCTCGAGCGTCCAGAAAGGTAAAGAGAGTGTTCCAAAGCTCGGGAAAAGAATGGTGACAAACAAAGAGGAAGGAACATGGAAGAGGTCCCGAAATGAAGCCATAAGGGGACGACAACCATACAATCCCGCCCCTCAAGCGTCCGCCCGGCGCTTTGAACAACGGCGTGCTCGTATGCTAGGAGCGCGTGCCCGATGACAACATCTCCACCGTGGCCACGGCCTTGACGCCGGCATTTGTCTCATGATGATGTCGCCACTGTACGGGCTTCTCAACGGATCTGCGCACCTGTTCTGGACCCCGATCTGCAATTATGATTGCCAAGCAAAGAGTACATCAAACCGGGTGCATGCCACATGAGCTGAACAAGCTCAATCGCACTGTGCGCGTTGTCCACCGGTGGCTGGCAGTGGCCAACAAAGTAGCTGAATTGTGTTAGAACAAACTGCTCCATTTCAAGCATGTCTCGCCAAAACTGATGTACCGAAAAGGACGGCACCACATAATTCCCATCTTGTAATTTGTTGAATTCAGCGCCACACTAAGAGATGGTAGTTGCATTTGGTGAGGCATGGGTAGGGTCTCATGGGAAATGCGCGCCTGTCGTTGGAATACCGTGGACACCACAGTAATGCGGCAGATGCCGATTTTCTGGTGTGAGGTTCTAAGCAAGGACTTCTTCACGATGAAACAGCTGGGACCAGATCTGAGCGTGTGAGCAGCTGCAGCTGCCTGTCGATGGGTGTTTTAGGCACACGTGCTGCATAAAGGACACTTCAAGGAACCTCTTCCATATCGAACAACTATCTACTGCACCCAAGATTGTAAGTGGAAAGATCCTACATCGATCCAAACACCAAGGGAATCTGCAAATGACTGTTGAGAATTTTCGCCCATTTCGCACAGTCTCTAACTGTGCTCATATTGTGTTAAGATGAAATCAGACCTTGGGTGTGAAACACACATCTGTCACAATGGTGCCAAGTCGTGCTATATCAACCGTACTTTTGATAACAGTTTCTACCGTAGAGTGTGGTCGCCGTCTCTGGCCCTGCCACCACGAGGCGCCTTTAAAAAGCCCGTTCATCGCCACACGCGTGCTTCGGCACCACGCTCAAAGGAACGCGAACAAGCACCCTTCCGATGTTGCTGCGCCCGTGATCGCCTGTCGAGGCGCCAGGGCTTGTTTGTCACGTCCTGTCCGACAGCTTTTCCGACAACCTCCGACAACTTTTCCGACAGCAGCGACGAAGCCACACAGACCGGCACGCGGCTGCCAGTCAGCGAAACTCGCCTTGTTTCAGATTCACTGCAACCACCATCCAAGGATTTTTTTAACCTGGAGCCCCCGCGCCCCTCCCCCCCCCCCTCCGTGCGTGACGCGAAAACTGCAGGCCCCAACAATACGCAACCCACGTGGGCCTCCCGAGATCCCTGCGGCGCCACCAAGCGCCGCGACGCGCTGCTGCCGCTTACGGACCCATGGCGCGGCGGTTCCCGCTCACCCTCTCGGCCCTCGGCCTGCTGGCGTGGGCCATCGCGCCAGCTACGATTTCGGCCCCGTCAGCGGGACCCTTTCCGCTGCCGATCGTCATCTGGCACGGCATGGGGGATTCATGCTGCAGCCCGATGGGAATTGGACACATCGCGGACAACCTGAGGAAGTATTTGGGTGAGGATCGGCTCATGGGGCGATGAAATTGAGCCGTAGCATAAAACGCGGGGGCTTTGGAAGGATCGGATGCCCGTCGGCCACGCAGATTGGGCAGCGATTTGCGGTGGACGTCCGGGCTCTGTTCTGAGCCCAGAGACTTGCCGGTAGTGGGATTTCCGATGCGCTTGTCGGAGGGGACGTGACAACGAAGCCCTTGTACCCCAACAGGCGACAGCGGGCACAGGAGCGCTCGAAGTGCGCTTGCTCGCGATCCCCTTGGCGAGCATGCCACAGCAGTCGAATTGGCCGCGCTGTGTGGGGAGGCTGGAGGCCGGCAAGGGGTGTTTCGCGATCGCTGTGGTGATTGTGGCCTTGTGTCTTGTGGCCTCGTGGTCGTTGGAGTCCAGCGGGCGACGGGCACGGCGCCGTGGCTTGGGGGGAAGGGGAGCAAGGCGCGTGGTTTGGGGCGTGATGGCTGATCCGCGGGACCTGCTGACCGGAAAAGGTCAGCGCCGGGCGGGGTTGATGGGTGATGCAGCCGGCGGTGGTTGCGGATGAGGTGGCTTGTAGCTTGGAGTGCGCTGGGAAGAGCGGTGCGGTTTCGCAATCTCCCGATTACCATAGAGGATGATTGATCTATGCGGCACGGTTGCCACGTGGCAATGGTTGGTTCGTTGACTGATCGATGTTGATGTTGATGTTGATAGATAGGTCGATTGGTTGAAAAGTGGGAAAAGTGTGGGTGCAAGGAAAGCGTGGAACACGCGCAAGTGTATACAATTAGTTTCCGTCGTAAAGTGGACGAAATAGCGAAGCGGAAAGTACGCAACGTATTCAGGGTGCGCAGCAAGAGTACAGGAAGGGATTGAAATAAGCAATGGGGGCACAAGCTTCATCGAGAACGGTCCAGTTGTGCTCAACTGTAACGCCCTGGAATGTGTCTTTGTTCTCAGGTGATACAAGTCCATGGTGTTCCTGAAACATCTGTACCCACTGTGCAAGACGATCAAAGTCCATGGCATCAATGCAATTCATGTTGTCAGCAGCAGGCACTTCGAAAGCTCACCAAGTGCTGGCTGTGAGACACCAGCTACTGTATTTCCTTTGGTCCGTTGTGTCTGTTCCTTGCAGGGAAGATGCACTGAAAACTCAGAGCCATTAATTTCTCCACTAGTCAAAAGAAGAAGAAAAAAAACAGACTCCATAATATGACCACGATTGTGGAAATATGTCAGGTTTTATGCACAGCTGAATTACCGCAGCCTATGGGCTCACATTTACTGTCAGGACCAGAAGCCAAAAAGGCCTTGACGGTATTCGGCATGCACTTGTGGATAGCACAAATCCAAGAGCTAGATTGGCTCGCCTTCACAATATTTGAGGTGCACAACAATTTTTGTCTTTGGGCCTCTCCAGGTGTGTATGTATACAGCATTGCAACTGGAGACGGTCGGGATGCAGATGTCCGGAGTAGCTACATTGGCAACATCAATGATCAAGTGAGTTTGTCCAGGCACAATTCAGTATAGGCAGTGTGATGGGAAACAATGATACTCTATTGCGTGCTTCACCTCCAGATTTCAGCCAAGATGCACATCATGTGTAGTGTTGGAAATGTAGCCATGGAAACAGCCAAGATTGTATGCTAAACAGTATTTTGGGAACTGTAAATACGTTCCATTATAACACTAACAATATGAAGAGTGTGTTGGCCTTGTGCAGTATTCAGTAGTCCACAGGCTGGCTTGGGCAGTGTCACAAATAAGAGAGGAAAGGATCAGGGCCCTTTTGATTTGCAAGCATGGGGAATGTCATCTGCTCAAGAAACACCCCCATCATTTCTGTGCACTGGCTCTTTTGTGCAAATGTGGGGCCACACACAAATCAGTTGTGGGGGTATGCAGCATACCACACCTTGCAAAATTGATAGCAGTTGTTATGCTAGAGGTGTGGGTGTGGTGGGGTGGATGGCGGCATGGAGAAGCACTGCCAAGCTGTGTCAGTATGACTCCAGTAAGCTGTTGCACATTCTGCTTTGTCTACATGTGCGTTCTCTGCCTGCTGATGATCTAAATCTGCAGCTTTATTGTACCAAAGACAGATTATGACGCAACTGCATTTGAACGTGAAGGTGGCAAAGGTGTGCAACGACCTGAAGGAGATTCCAGAACTTCAGAATGGCTTCAATGCCGTGGGATTCTCACAGGGAGGCCAATTCTTGCGGGTACGCGATGAGACGGGTTGATTTTCGCATGCCATTGTTTTTGCGGCAAACAAATGAATACGGCAGCTACCACTATGTTCAAGGCTTGTTGACTCAAGAGTCCTGTGATTTCATGGCTAGCGCAGAGCTGGCCTGCACTAATCACAGTGATGAACATATCTGCCAATAGGGGCAGCTGTTTGATAATGTATCCCATTGCACAGAACTGGAAGCACCGAGAGGAACCTTTCCAATTGTTCATGTGCACGTCAACTAATGTGTTTTCCAATGCAATCGCCACAAAATGTTCTGCATCTAAAGACAGTTGCTCCGTTGGCTCATTTGAGTTTCAAAACTCGTGCATCTGTGCACTCAGTCTGTCTGATATCCTGGTGACTGTATATTCATTACAACTTTGCATTTAAGGACAGGGCTTTCTTTTGAAAGAGCAATTACACGATGCCAGCATCATTTTTACTTACACTGTGAACAGTGACAACAATTATATAATTGTATGTAACTAAATGACATTAAATAGTTTAAAGCATATAAAACGTACCGTGTTTACCCAGTATTACTAGGCGTGCATTGGAACCCTCCAAATGAGCAGTGGATACTAATAGTGGGTCACAGATACTAACGCAATCTAGACTTCTGATCCAAGGAGTAGACCAAAAAAAATTTTGAACATGGATCGTGAAATGCCCCCAAAATGGGCTTGACATAATGTAAGACGCAATGCATAGGTAACAACATCACCAAGTCTAAGTTGCAAATCATAGACAACACAATATTGACAGCGCCATGTTATTAGCGACAAGGCTATTGCTGAAAGTTTTCAGCCTCTTCACGGGAGCCCGCGGTCTGGACTTGGGGCTGCACCAGGTGGGGCCGACTGGCGATTGGAGCCAGCAGGGGTTCCTTGGACTGCTCGAGGCGCGTTTGCCTCCGCGATGCGAAGAACGAGGACCTACAGGACAAGCCACACGCCGCAAAGGCAGGGCCCGTCCCCAATTTGCACAGCTGCCTTGCCACAAACCCATTTTGGTTTGTTGTGTGATTGGCCAATCACAGATCCCATCAGCCATCCAACCGCCATCAGCCCGGGAAAGCGCCGGGGGCCAAGTCCATCGTCGCGAAGCGTCGCTCCGGCGTGTCTGAGCCAGTTTGCGAGATGCTGTCTCACAACGGCGGCCGCCCTGGCCATCGCCGTCGCCCGCCCGTTCGCTTGGCCTTGGGGCGCCCACAGCAGGCGTTGCCAAATTCTCCCTCAACTGCATCCACGCCGACCCGATCGTCATCATCGACTTGCGAATCGCAGGGAACGCGGTTTGGCCCAGACTGGGCAACGCGGCCGAACACCAGCCGCCAGCATCCCTTGCCACTATCTCTCGTTTCGCTGAGGTTTGGGGGTGGTTACTAACACCGGGTCCTGGATACTGACGTGGTTTCACCCCCTACAGAAGGGCGTGGATACTAATTGGAGGTGGATACAGTAGGGGTCCCTATATAGCGCCCCCCTAATAGCGCCCCCGGCCCCCAATAGCGCCCCCTTTTCTGGCTTGTCACCATTTTTGTAGTACTTTATGCAGCTTCACTGCACAGTGGGACCTCAAGCTACTATTGCGGACAACCAAACACACCCAAGAGAGGTGTCTGGTGGACTGATGGTGCAGTGGCCATATGTTTCAACGAACTTGGCATATAGCGGACGGGCGGACGGCACGTCCGGTGCGTCCACTATGGGGCCCGGGCCCAGGGCCTCCCCAGGAGGCCAAGGGAGGTGTGTGTTCCATGGCGGATCTCCATCTATGCACAACGAAGTGGGCACTGCCCACCTGGCTCCTTGCAGCCAGCAGAATGTAGGGATAGGGAGGGGTGCCCAATGCCGCAGCTTCCATTTTTTCTCTCTCATCATGATCATACAAATCTATCTCCATATCCCTGCTTGAATCCTCATCGTTGCTTGGAGTTCCGTTTTCCATGAAATCAGGGCCGCAGGGGTTTCCATCATCGCAGTCGCCCTTATCATCATCAAAAAAGCTCTTGATCAATTGCTTTGGCATCACAGCCGATTTGTGCACCGGGCGCTTTGATGCTCGCACTGGCCCACAGGCTGGGCAGTAGCGCCTCACATAGCAGCCTCCCCATTGAAAATCCTTACCACACGAGCAGGATCCGCACCATGCATGCATAAGGATATTGCAGCCAAGGCATCTATAAATTGCAAAGAGTGGTGGTCCATTTTGGCCGTCGTCCCCGGAGATAGCGCAATAAATTCACCCTCAAACAGGCAGTTGAGCCATCTCAACAGCCTCAGCACCACAGCAGTTGAGAGTGCACTCAACGAACAAGCTTTGCCCCTCACGCGAACGGGCTCTTCACAAAGAACTGCTTGGCATGCCGACAAGACCAACAAAATAGCGGCAACAGCAAGGGGAAGCTTCAAAAGGGTAGCAACACCCCCCACTGCTAGCCAACCATGCAAGTATGTTTGTAGAAACTCTTGCAGGTTCCGTTCAGAGTACCCCAACTGGTCGCAACTGCTTCTTAACGGTCGACGAAGTCAAAACAGAGGTCAGGTCCCACGGGTCAGGGCTGCCTTGTCCACAACACGTTGGTGTATGACACGGGGAATATTTCTCTCTGCCTCGGCAAGACTGTACAAAGACGAAGCTCGATGTGTTCTGGTCGGCAACTAGACCATGCTGGAGGTGCTGGTCTCGAACGGCAAGGAAGCGCCTTGAAAACAAGGCCCAGACTGGCTGCAACCTTTGAAAAGGTCGTGCGCTATTGTGCTCAGGCCGTGGCGAACCTTGCGCGTACAGTCAGGGGGGCTAGGCAGCCAGACTGAGCGCCTAGACCGCCACGCGAGAGACACACACACCCCACGCAACCGTTCTTATAGGTTCCAGGCCAAGTGCAACAATACAGAGTTCCCCTTCACGCTGTCCACACCCCTTTGGCAAAAATACCACCATTCCAAAGAGATGCTCTTTTCATACCCGGAATCTTTCTGCCACGCCTGCTGCTTCACCACAACGCAACCCAGGACGCCCCACTGCCCACAATCAGCCACTGCATGGGCCCCAAGGGCCACATTCTCACCAAGCACCGACACTTCCCGTGGTCGGCAACCACATTATGCCCCACGGGACATATTCCCATCAAACAAGCACGTGGTGTCTCAACGCACCCCTCCTGGCTCCATCTCGCCACGATCCACGGCAAGCCGCCAGGCGGGCAGCTCCTAAACAAACACACGTGTCCAGTGGCAACCCGGGTGCTCCTCAATACTCTAAGGCATGTTTGGGGCATGTTTGACTCATGTGTCTCCGTGTGATGCACTGCCACATATTGGCGTTGTGTTCGGCATTTTTATAGTATCTCAGTGAACTCTTAGGGCGTATGATGCAGTTGCCATCATCTATCTTTGTCATCAAAGTCATCTCCATGCATTCTGAGTGCCTTGAGCTTGCAATTTGATAATAATCAGTGTGGCGAAGGTGCTGAGGCTGTTGACATCTCTCTGCATCGTATCTAGACCTCATGGGTCGCCAACTGAGTGATATTATTAATGCACTAACTTTTTGATGAGCCCTATTAATTGGCGACCCGAACAGAGCGCCACTGACCCCAGCACTGATTTGGCAGACTGGGCACACCAGTCGTGCAGCCATCGCACGCCCGCGATGATCACAACAGTGCTGCCACGCTGCTGCGCCGCCACATCGCCGCACCGCCACACGGCCACCCCGCTACGCTGCCACACTGCCACGCTGCCACGCTGCCACGCTGCCACGCTGCCACGCTGCCACGCTGCCACGCTGCCACGCTGCCACGCTGCCACGCTGCCACGCTGCCACGCTGCCGCACTGCCACGCTGCTGCGTTGGCACACTGCCACTTGACGCTGTCGCTGGGCCCCGCCACAGTGCCAGCTGGTCATTACACAAAACCATATTGACTAAAACTACAATCAAATGCAGTAAACAAAGTTAACACAATAGCGCCCCCGGCCCCCAATAGCGCCCCCCTTGTGGCCATGTCATGGGGGGGGCGCTATATAGGGACCCCTACTGTACTAATAGGGGGTGGATACTAATAAACGGAGTAAACACGGTTATCACGGTAATATAATAGATGCTGTGAGCTTCTTAATTTCATTGTTCATCTTCCAGTTTCACCACTGCAATTTCTGTTATGAGCTGCACGAATTCAATCTGTTGGAAGACATGTTCTTAATGGGATCGGACAGTTTGAGTGTATCACAGCGCCGTGGTTTGCTTGCCACCAGAAAGGGGACTTCACTAGTATTTGCACATTTTGTAGGTTGCAATCTTTCTAGAGAGCTGCATAGTGTGGTCGAACGAAGCAGAACCCCTGTTGAACAAACCGGTCATGACACTGTCTCAGTATTTTCACTGTGACATTCTGCCCATTTGCTCATGCAGGCAGTTTTGCAGAGGTGCCAGCACACAGGCCCCCGCATGCACAAGCTTGTGACGTTGGGGAGCCAGCATGAAGGCGTGCAGAACATGCCAGGATGCATGTGAGGTTGACAATGCTTTGCTTATATATCAGTATCTTGGTATCTTATTATATTCGTACAGTGACACCTCCTTATCATGTGTTGATTTTGCATGAGCAAACTTATGTTCCAATTATTGAAAATGTGAAAATGCTGCTGCGCCAGTGAAAATTGCATGGCACACCTGGTGCGACAGTGAGAATGGCAGTGAATGTTGACATCCTGCATAACTTCTATTTGGACAGCCAATATCTAGGGTATTTGGCACCTTTCCTCAGTTTGCATATGGCCTCTTGGCATTTCTATTGTTTGTCAGCAAATTTGCTCTTTGCAGCTACAGCATCGTCGAATTCTTGCATGCCCAATGCACTGGCCTTGAGCAGTAGTACTAGATGCGGTTACTAATTCAAAGACATTACTACCCTCTAGTCTATTATCTGAGGGTTAAAAAGAGAATGCATGAATGGTGAAAATATGATCTTGCGCACACAAGACTTTGAATGACTTGCATGGCTGTTGCCAATTGTTTTCCGATGTGTATGCCCAGTGTACATACAGCGGGCTGCAAGAATATACAGAAATGGTTGACACATAACGCCTACCGTCCAGAAGTCCAGGAAAAGTGGATTCAAGCCCAGTTTCTTAAGGTAAAGATCAGTTGCTGCAGCAAAGATATTTGAAATTCGTTTTGGCTTTCTGCCAGGTTTTTGTGTGTCCTCCTTGGCTAAGATATATGCTCTCCTCTAGTGCTGCTGCCATTACGCAGCCTGTGTGATGCAACCTGAGGTTGCACTAGCTCGAAGCACCTAAATTTCGTGGCCCAGAACATTGGTGGACAAAAGTTGCCCACAAGGTTGCGAATGTTGAGCACAAGGAGCTCACAAGGAACTTAAGGAACTGAAACTTCATGCAACATGAAAACATATGCCATGCCAAACTTTTCACATGCACGCACACACAGACATACCCAGAAACAGAAGATGTTTTCGTGATTGTTGTACTGACATTGTATTTGGGCAGGGATCATCAATTTTGAAAGCCAAGTGTTATTTAGCAAGGCCATGAGATGTCTAGTGTATTGCATTCCACATTTTGCATATGGCAACCACTTTCCATGTCCATTCCAAGGCACTTCGATGATTGTGCAATATCCCTGGACTGTCCTCCGCATTGACAAGCTTGTGCTCTTGTTCCTGATCCATTTCAGTGAAATCTGAGCTCCGTTGGCCGTGTCAATTTTGCTTTCACTTGATCAACATTTTCGCCATATTGTCATGCCGTGTTTCAACATTGGCGAGACTTTTGGCACAGGACCCATACCGCAAGGCGGAATACCTCAACAGCAGCATTTTTTTGGCGGACATCAACAACGAGAGGGAGGAAAAGAATGAGCAGTACCGTCTCAACCTTGCATCGCTGGAGAAGCTCGTCCTGTTCCGGTTCACCTATGACATCGTTGGTGAGCGTTCCAGCACGATGAGCAACTTGGATATGCATCACCTTAGATTTGCATGCTAGCTTCTCATTGGCCGTGCATTGCTGACGCGAGTAGACAGGCAGCTTATGTTGATGTGCCAGCTGTTTTCCCTGTGCGTTTGTCAAAGGCCATCATCCGCATCGTAGTTGCAGTGTCCTTCGTGTTTGATGCATTGGACTGACGTGAATTCTATCGCAACTATTGTTTAGATAAGATGCGTCGCTGACCATGGCTTCCCCAATATTCGAGGCATGTGTAGCCTCCCAGATAATTCCGAAGCGCATCTGGGGTCACGTTTTGCGAATTTGCAGCGAAACAGTATGTTTATGTCGATCTCTATCGGCATTTTACTTGGGCAGTTTTCTTAGATCCGCTGTCTGTGGCATCTGTAGCATTTGTCAGGTTGTCAATGCCATGGTGCACAACACGCAGCAATGTGAATGACCTGGCCGCCAACATATTGTGCTCTTTTCATTGCAGACGATGTTTGGTAATTGGAAGCTGCATTGAGTGCAGCAACGGAGTTGATTTCTGCTGCCCGTTGACTGAAAGCAATGACATGTGCTGCTGTGTTTTGCGAAACTATGCATTTCAGCGTGCAACACTCGAAATGCACAATTGCTGCCGTCAGCAACCGCACGTTTATGAACTTCGCAATGTGGCACACGGATTTTCAAGACGATTTCTATCATATAAATTTTGGATTAATGGTCATGAGATGCGCCGTGGGCGTCCGCTATTGGGTTTGTCGTGCTTGCAGTTGTTCCCAGGGACTCCAGTTGGTTCTCCTTCTTCGACGGCACAGCCCTTATTCCTATGCCAGAACTGGCATTGTTCAAGGAAGACTGGATCGGCCTGAAGGAGTTGTACGACCGCGGAGACCTCATCTTCGGAGACTGCCCCACGGGGCATATGACATTCACATGGGATTGGTTCAAAACGAATGTGGCTGACGAGTACCTTGCCGCCAATCCAGCCTTGGAGGAATGGGCAGATGCAGTGTGAGCGGCCATGGTGCGCACTTGGGAACAGAATGGGGGCAGTCAATTGCGAATTTTCGGCAATTTTGCATGGATTGTATTCGAGCGCAACCTGATAATGAGGGGTCAGCAATGGCTGCGGACTGTACTTGAGAGTGTATCTTTAGCCTACAATTTTTTGGGTTTCAATAAGGGAAACGTTGGTTGGCCAGAGGCACTGGGCCATTTCTGCTTCACGTGTGTCAGGCACTGACACATGGTCAGAGTTGGGACGGACAAAGCTCATTTTTAACCACTGCAAATTTGATCTTCGACCAATGGAATTGCACGACATCCAAGTTCTTGGTTGGAGAATTGTTTCACATGATCAAGCTTGGTCTCGTATTAGAAATGTATTTTTGTTTTTGCACGTGTATCTTGTCACTTGGAATAGATATCGACTCGTAAATAGTTTTGGGTGCTGCTCGAGCTGCCGCATAATGCCAGCATTGGAGTGGCCCACTTGCACTATACGGTGCTCGAATGTACATTGTTGCTGAGGGATAACTGTGTGGGATGGATCGAGCATACCACTATGCAGTAGCCCAAGAAACAACATAAATCCATTGGTCCTCATTAGACATGGGAACATGTCCAAAACCACTGAGTTGTTAATCCTGCGTTATCCACAATACTCGCCGGCTGGTCATGCCGCAACATAATGTACATATGTAGGCAGCCCAATGGAGAATAATTCTTCCACGTCATGCGCAGTTCGCGGCCAGTACTGCACAAGACACTACGGCAACGCCACAGCGCTGGTTGATGGTGGCGCATGCAGTTTGAGTGACTTATAAATCAATATCACCGTGACATGAACTACGCAACATTTAGCACATCACAAGCTTGTGATGTGATTATACTTAAGTATAATACATGCCAAACTTGCCGTCAGTCACTGAGCCACGTCAGGACAAAAGCCGGGCTCAGGAACGACATGTGGCAACTAACTAGGGCATCGCTGACAGACCGGCCAGAAGGAAGGAAAAATGCACTCAAAGCATGGTCAAAGCGAGAAATGGCATGCTCCAGTAGTTCTAGTAGGTTTAGTGTTAGACGTCAAAGTCGTCAGCCCGGAACTGAATGCCTGCCGTGGCACAGGGACAGGAGCCATGCGCTAGTGACTACGTTATGTTCTGCTGTGGCCGCAAGGACCATGGCCATTCAGGTGGTAACAACGACCATTGGGAATATGAGTGGCCACTACATCGGAAACATGAAAATACGGGGAGCTGTTGCAGAAATTTTCAGAATTGCAGCTGCTGAATTATACAATAGAAGAAAGCGGAAGTATTAGTTTTCCAAGGGGATTGCTGCCTGATTCATGACAGGAATTCAGACACAAGCACAGCCGGGCGCAGCATATTACTGGGAAGGAACATCAATTAGAAAAGGGCTAGACAGTGGGGAGAAAGGGAGGCAGAATGCTGGCCATTTCTCTATGAAATTGACAGACACAAGAAGGCATGGTGATAGCATCAGTATGAGACATTTTCAGCACGAAACAAGGCATCCTGAATTCGCCGGATCTATTACATGCTGGGCAGTACATGGCAAATGTCAGCCGTCCTTAATGGATGGCTGGCATGCTTGTAATGCCATTGCCTTGGGCTAACGGGGCAAAACCTGTGGTGAGCAGCCAAAAGACAAGGAAAATGATGCAGATTGTTTGTTCAAAATGCAGCAGAAACGGTTGAAAGATTGGCTGTAACCTTAGAGTCGATAGATGATGTTTCAAAATAAGGAAAATAGGGTGAAACGCTGTCAAAATTTTGACAGAATTCAGAAGCTATGGCTGCGGTGGTCTAGGGTTGTATCTTCACTGGTTTTGGAAGAAATCATCAAGTGAGGGTTACTTGTGTAACATTGGAAAACAGCGCCACTTTTCTTGAGCTCTGGTTGATTGACAGCTGTATTACACGAACTGGTTTTGTGCTGTAGTTTTCATGACGGTCATTGGGGCATTCTTAGCAGCAACTTTGAACGGGAATAGTTTAGGGAGAAATGGTGTACGCTCTGTGCATTTCGAATGCCAATTTGTCGCACTGGAAGGTCATGACACATCCAAATGCAAGCAAAACTACTGGCTGGCACGTTGACCCATGCCGTACACAACACACTGCCCTGGCACGCCAGTAGTAGTAGTAGGGCACCTCGCAGTGCGTCACGTCCGTCACTGAACTGGCAGGTTCCCATGTCGCAAGGGCCGCTCCACAGGCCCCTTGGAGCCCGACCAAAGGGCTGCAAATGTGCGCAGCGAGTCGTCTGACCCGCCGTGGAGCGCGCGCACGGGCAGAACTCTGTCGCTTGGGCAGATCCTCGCGTCGCGGTCGGAGAGGCTGTGTCGGACGCAGCGAGCGTGACGGGCGCGAGCCAATTCAGGGGGAGCGCAGGAGGTCATGGCAGATGCTGCGGGGACCACGGAGGATGGCGAGGAGGACTACGTGAGCTCGGTGATGGAGGCTGCGCAACCCGTAATTTGAAAGGACAACGGATGGGCAATCGTACACAGGCCAAAGGGAGGTGGGACCTGAGCGCGATGACTGCAAGTAACCAAAATGAACATACTAATGAGATGAGACGTTGAAAAGGGTTAGCAACAATGCGCTTGCCTTAGTAATGAACACTGTGACCCATGTAAACGAAATGTGCGAACTGTTTCTGAGTTATTTGACTCAGCATGACAAATACGGCTCAGAGGGGTGAGCTGGATGATGAGTAGCCTGACTAAAATTGATCTTTACATTTTAGGGTGAAATTCAAGGGGATCTGGGAAGTTATTGTGAATCTGTGATCATGTTTATGATCTGAGAAGCGTAACTACGTAGGATTGATGCTTAAGTTGCCTGTGCTCAAAGGGGGAAAATCAGGATGATAAGTGTGATGGCAGGGATAATCTGGTTGATAACGGAATATTCAGAGAATATTCTTGGAATGATGTGAACCCATTGCAGATACAAATAGTGGAGTTTCGCATCACTTGGTCGCAGCACCCTCACCGAGTTCCTGGACACCCAACCAGCTCTACCACAGAATTGCACAATTCTAAACTAACGTAGAAGTAACAAATTGCTTATTTTTTTAAAAATTGGTCTTCTAACCCATGTGATGGGGTGGCCGTGAGCCTACACACATTGTGTGGCCAGTCTTGGGAATGCGCTGAGGTCAGGTTCCCTGCCCAAGGAGGACGTTGTGTTGACGAAGCACGTGTGGCCTGCCGGTTCACATCAGGAAGGCGGTGACATTGTCCTGCGTTCACTAGGGAAAAAGAGCCAAATAAAACATGTTCAAACGTGCACAAAGTTTACTGGTTTGGGTCATTTTCTTATTTTAAGCTTGGAAAAAACTGATGAAATGCATATATATTTGTGTTCGCAAAAAGCGTTGTTTGGTCCTTTTGCTGCTAGTGGTTCCTGCGACCGTTTCCTGATGCACGCGGAGTACTGAGGTGCTGTGCTTAGCAGAAAATTATTTCTGAGCCCCTAAAGAATTGCCTGGTAGGTGTTGCGAGTAGGAGGAAGTATATAAGCGAACACAGAGACAGCATTGAACATCCCAAGCTGAACAATGTAGCTAACAGCGCTGCGCAGCCAGTCTGGCGAAATCAAAGAGCGTTCCAAGTTTTCATTACAGAATCGAATAATGTCGCAGCTTGCTTGATAAGATTAAACAGCGTTGCGTTGACTGTGGTATGAGCCAATTTTGGTAAGAAAGTGAACATATTGCCGAGAAAGAAGAAATCGAAAATCCCTGTGGAAAACGCGCTCCGCTTGAGTGCCCACCAGCGCCAGTCGAAGCGAGTCTCAATCGTAGCACACAAAACTATAGCAGACATTCTTTTCCAAAAGCAGGCATGCTATCTGTGCAAAATTTGGGAAGAACTCCCTGGAAATCCGTGTACAATCAGTAACACTGAAATTGGCTTCACCGTTGTAACAAAGCATAAGATTGGAAGTGACCATATTTTCAGATAACATTCTAATGCCACTCGTGGAAAGGCCTCCATTTGTGACTGCGCTATGGGCTTGTGAGTCACGCCTTGTCACTTGTGTTTCACAACAAGCGTCCAATCCAGAGCCCAATCGTAAGGGCTCCACAAGAAACGAGACACCCACAGAGGCTCCCAGAAGGAAATGCACACAATGCGCTTCCAATGGACAAGCATCTCAGAGGGTTGAATCACATGGTATCCAATCGCAGCACCCTCCTGACGACTTTGACAACGTCTTTTCGATTCAGCTTGCCACAAAGCGCTGACACGGGTCCTGAGGGATCGCAGTTCAAGCCCTATGTTTCCCTTGGGTCCAATCCCATGAGGCATATACCTTTTGAATTTAGCACACACACTCGCCAAGAACTCCCTCCCAACCCGGTAGATTCTCAGAAAGAAAGGCCAGAAAATTTTCTGGTTTAAACCAGAGAACAACAATGCCAAATTTACTGCAGAGAGGGGGGCGACAATGTGCCAGGAATTCCAAAGAACCCATGTAACTGCTCTCTCCAGCTCCAGCTCCGCTGGGGAAAACTTTCCTGGCTCCCTCAGAGTTTCCTTCCTCACACCAATAGTTCATCAGGGTTCCCCACAATATCCATATGATGCAAATGCCAACGAACCTTCTTGGCAACTTTTTCATAACTTTCTCTTGTTTGCCGCAGGCTCTTGCACAGAAATACTCACCTTAGCCTCAACTTCCTCCTCAGCCTCGGCTTCAGACCACCTTCTCAGAGCTCCTTGAATCTGCCTCTCGCTGCCCTCTTCGCTTTCTTTGCCTGCAGAAACATAGCTTCCTTCGCCAGCCACGACTTCAACAAACTTTCTCCAGCTGTCTCTGATCTTCCTAACGTCTTCTTGATCCTACGGTTGACCAGCTCAGCCTTCAGCAAAATCCTCAGGCCTCCCATTTTTTTCATGAATGCTCCGGTCAGGGTGGGGGGAGTTGCTTCGGAGGTGGCGTTTCGTCACCGGTCGTCTCTTGAAGCCGATCAGAACGTCTCCCCTTAGCCAGCCGTCCATTCCCCCATTCGAGTTGACGTCCAACGCCGGCCAACATCACGATTCCCTTCGCCACCCTCCCAAGCTCCTGAGAATTTGTCAAATTTGTCGCCAGCACCTTAGGAGTCTCCTTGAAGCTTGGCCACCGTTGGGAGCCTGTCGTTGACCAGGAAGCTTCTTCCAAGTCACTTCGCCGTCAAACCGCAGGCAGCAAAGACGTCGCTGGGAAGCTGCCAGTGCTCCACCTCGTTCCCTGGCACGACAACGGCTCTGAACCACAACAAACGTACTCAACGACATCACAGGGACTCAAGAGAAGTTCCTGGGGCCTGAGCGTACCCTCGGGGGTCAGTCAACGATATCGAGCACTCAATTTGAACACGGTGCAGCTGGTCGCAGCTGCGAGGCGGCAGGACTGCAATGTCTCTCAAGTCGCGAACGTTCAAGATAGCCTCAACACACTCGGGAGACAACAAACACCGTCCTGCAGCTGTGCACAGCTTTGGCAGTCTTTGATTTAGCACGCGGTCGCCTCGTGAGGCGTTCCTCGCTGTGCAAAGGTGGCCCGAAGCCTTTACACAACCTGTCCGTCCCCTCTCCCCCTCACAGCACTGCCCCTCATCCCGCAGAGATAAACAACCGACTACCATGTTTTGTAAATAGCCCGGGACAATTGCTCATACTGCCAAAGTATCATGGAACATTCCTAGTGCAGTGCAGATCAATTCAGCTACCAAAGGATAGCGGGAAGGCAGTACAGCTGCATACACACTGCAAGCACGTACAACTGTACGTGTACTGTATATACACGTACAACTGATATCAGTTTTCAACTGGTTCAAAACCAATCACTTCCAGTCCGATGTAGGTTGGCTCAAAATCCATCAATTTTTTTCAAAACAATACCAACATATCATCCTCAGGATATTCAATACGACATTCCAGCCTTCCACATAATCCACAGGATCCGTATCTCACCTTGGCAGTTGCCATGAACTGATCCAATTCAACAGAATTCAAATGTTATTGAATTTTCCTGATATTTCCCTCCACAATTCTCAGACAATAGCACCAGAAGCGGTCAAAAATATCAGAAGTATCTTCCAGTATATTTCTCAGCCGTCCCTTAAATTAAATTCCATTAGTGCTGCAAATTACGTCAGGCCCCGTCATTACTCTTGACGGCTTTGCAGCTCCCGCCTGGTATTATGACTCGTGCCCCCACCTGACAGCAAAAACTGGTCGTGTGATCAGTCAACGGCGCTGGCCTTCGGCGCCTTGATGGCCGATGCTTGGATGGCAATGGCGCCAGCAACCAGCGCTTTGGCCTCCTCGTCCGGCATCAGGAGCAACACACCCCGGTCCCAGTTGGCGGCGCCGTCTCCCCACGTGGCCATTTGCGTGCATTTCAGCGGGCTAGCACTGCAAAAATAGAGCTTGGGAGGAAACGGGGGCTCCAACCTCAGCCAATTCGACTGAATCTCAGTGCCAAAGTGAGTGCCGAATGGCAGCTGCAGCCCCCCTTCTGCAAGGTGGGGACCGTGGGCGTCCCCATACTCTCCTGTTTTGCCTTTTTGTCCCTTCTCCGAACAGACGTGCCTTCAGCGCCGTTGTGAGAGAAGGCCCCGTGGATCGCCCTGGGTTGGTGTGGCAAATCTGATGCCAACATCTGGCGCATCAATTATTGCCACTGTTGCAAAAAGAACATGTCGCAAAAAGAGCAATTTCCCTTTCGCAGAAAAAACTGGTGACCTTCGGAAGCATATTATCGGAAGCATTACCACTTTTTGAATGAATGCACGTGAAGCCAGTCCCCCTCCAAAACAACGTTGAACGGAATCGCTGGATTGGAGATCCTTTCCTCGCAGAGCGCCACTGAGAAACGTTTTGGAGAAATGGAGCATCGCGCCCCTCAGGTCGACCTGTTGGGAGGTGAGTCAACACAGTGCTGGCCCGCGTCGACTCGGAAGTTGTATTGAAGAGGTGAGCAAACACGTTGACCTGCGCTGGTCAGAAGGTGCTTTAGGAGGTGACCCATCAATCTCAAACCGCCCCGACCGACACTTCAGGCAAAAAGTCGTGGCGCACCTCGGCCAATGGCCCCTGAGTCCTTGTCGTTGCCAGGAACTGTTGTCCAGCGAACGAGCAAGCCGGCCTGCAGCTGTCCTCGTGGATGGTAACAGGGCTGCGCAAGGTTGGGGAGAAGGGCGGCGTTGATTGTACGCGTTGTGCAGTGAAGATTTGCTGCCGTGGACAGAGCAGGGACAAAGGCGTTCCTGGGTGGAACTCAAGCCTTCTGGTCAGCGGTGTTGCACAGTCAGCTGTCGGTGAACGGTGGCAAGGAATTGAACGCTGCTGATGTGAAGTCCAAGGAGTCTCCATCAACCTGGGCTATTCAATTCTGGCACGGCATAGTTCTTGTCCCCGACAGGAATGAGAACATGGTCCTCGGTTTCCTGGCCGCTTTGCGCCTCGTACTTTCTACCTGACGACAGTGCGCATTCGTTCGAATTTGCGCAGGCAAAATCCGATCCAGTCTTGGTTCGAAGTCAGGAGCCATCTTGCCTGCAGAAGTTGAGCTTCTGGGGATTCGTGTATTCAAGCGCCGAGGCGTTCGCAACGCATGTCTTCCCCGAAAGAACAGGAAGTCTCCATTGAAGGCCAAAGCGCTTTGACCGCGTGCCGGGATGGACGGGACAACGATGTACTCTTCGACCCGATGGTGGTCCATCCCGGTCCATCTCTACGCTTGGAAGGTACGAGACGTCGGGGTTGCATCCTGGCCCTTCCACCCATTGTCATTGAACGCTGATCTCGGCGCAGTTGCGGGCGGCCCGCCCGGGTTTCGGTGTTTTGCCAGCGAATACATGCCGCTTCTCTGCCCCAAACACAGCAGCACCGTGAGTAGCCCGCTATGCTGTTTGCTTGTGTTATGGCGCAGTTACGTCATGCACACATTCCTTCTGCCTGTGCTGACTCTGGAGGCTTGTCTTGTGCGGAAGAGCAAAGAGACAGGGCACTGTTCGCGTTTTGCATTAGTACCACTGAACAATGTTCTGCTATGTCTCAGGATGGCGTCCGTTCACAGTGGCTGCTTGTCCACCTAGCGGGAGAATGGAGTGCCTTGTGCACGCTGTCAACCGAGCAGTAGGGACAGCAGTGGACAGGCTGCCAGAGGCCAGGTACAACCTGGCAATGCTGAAATTCTTGTGTCAGGAAATGGACAAAGTGAAGGACCTTTTGCCACAGTTGTCAAAACGGCCTGCAAAGGAAGACGATTGCGACTTGTTAGCAGTTCTGAAGCAGGACGTGGAGAAGGGTGTTGCCCTAGTGAAGTGCCATGCAAGGGCGTTCAATCTCCGCACGTACTACAAAGTCGACAAGGTGTGCCGACAGGTAGATCGATTGTGTGAAGGGTTCAATGAGTGCTTCCTAGACTTGGGCATACCAGAAGAATCTCTGCACTTCAAGACCAAGATGGATGAAACGGTTCACGAGGAGGACAGGCGGTACTTGTATTGGTACTTGACCTGCATTATTGACAAGAAAGATATTGACAGGAAGGTCCCTGATGATGTTCGCCGGGAACTGGAAGCGTTGATTGCTGAAGAGAGGGTTCGCAGAGAGTTCGTGAGCATCATTCCTGATCCAGAAATAGTGCAGGGAGCGGAAATTGGAGAAGGCGGCTATGGAAAAGTTTTTGCAGCGCGTTGGAAGGGTCAGGATGTGGCCATAAAGAAACTGAGAAATGATCTAAGTGTGGAGGCACGTGCAGAATTTTTCAGTGAGGTCGAGTTGCACATCAGATTGAACCACCCAAATGTGGTTCGCTGCTTTGGTGCGACCACCAACAATGCCATTATCATGGAATTGGCATCATCGGACCTGGAAAAGTATTGCCAAGCACATTCACTACTGTTGACATTGTTAGAACAAGTCCAGCTTATGGCAAGCTCAGCTTCAGGATTGAAACATCTGCATGATTCAAACATTGTGCACAGGGATGTCAAGACATCGAATTTTTTGGTGTTCCCTACTTCAGGTGATGATCCACCAATCGTCAAAATCGCAGATTTCGGTTTGGCAACTGCCAAAACCGAAACACGATCAAAAACTGCCTGCCCGTTGCCAGGGACGTTCGCGTTCATGGCTCCGGAGGTGAGTGAAGGGAGGCCCCACAGTTACTGCTCAGATGTGTTTGGCTTTGGCTTGACACTATTTGAGCTTATTGCCTTGAGTCCACCATACAGGGGCCTCAGAAGCGAAGTTGTGATACAGAACAGGAAAAAGAAAGGAGCAGATCCAGGTGTTTTCCCAGAGGAGTGTCCTCGAGAGCTGATAGATCTTGTGAGGCGCTGCATTGATCCAGAAGGCAAGAGAAGACCCAGCATGTCTGCAGTGGTTGCTGAACTGGATGAGCTCCTCACCAAGGTTTGAAGTTCAGACAGCCATTGCCTAGCATCTGATTGCTTGGTGCGATTTTGCTGATGGATCAAGTGCACATGATTTGCAAACTACTGACTTACCTGCTTGGATCAATCCAGGATTGGAATTTTGCATCTGCTAGAAGTCCTAACCATCTATATGTTCGCGTCAGCATCTTCCCGTTCTTGTTATATCACTGTTCTGTGTTGTTTTGGTGGTAATAACTGCGTGGCTTGTCCAGGTGCCTGCTGCAAGAATGCACTGCTTGTAAACAATGCATCGCAGTCATGCAGTGTCTTCCACACTGACCAAAATGAAGTTGTCATTGTCGCATGCTCATGTATCAGCAGAGCACAGTTGAGTCCTCAACTTGACAATGCACTTCTGTGCTGCTGCCACACTGCACAGGTCGAATTGGGCGTCAGGACAGAACCAGAACTTTCTCAGCATAGTGGCGGCTATCAAGGGACCGCAATCTGTCACTCCTATCTTGCAGCGCTGGAGGAGTCATTGCCATCAACATGCAATCACCAGAGTCATGGAATCATGATCACAATAGACCCCAGTCGGCGCTCCCCCATTCTCCAAGCCAACTCTGTTGCATTCTCAGATGTGGCAAGACCAGAAATGGAACAGACGGTGCGTGTGATCACTTTGCAAACGCCTGCCAAGCACATGTGCCCATGCATGCTCATGAGAGAGAGTAGAGTACATATTAATGTACATACTTGAAGCTGATCTGTGGACCTTCTGGAAGGCAACGAGCTTGGCGGAAACCTGCCCTGCAGTCAATAATACTGACCCAATATATTGATAAGAGTGCTCACCCACCGGTTCGATTCCTTCTGCCAAGTACACTCATCAAAAAGTAATTGGGGTACAGCTGATTGCTCCCCTTTCAGGTTCTCTGCTGCTCACAGCCAAATATGTTGCTACAGGAGAAACGACGGAAAACAGAGTCGTCCGACGCAGAAGCGAAATCTCTTGCGCTGCTGGACGCCATGGAAAAAAGGGCACGCATGCAAGTTTTTCCGGGCTGTGCTTCAGATGATGACATGATGTCACTCGCGTCGTTCGCTTCACATGGCTCCGCCTCGAAGCCTTCGATGGGCCCCAACTCATCACGTCCAGTTGCTGGCGATTCCGTCAAAATTTGGGATGTATTTGGCGACACGGAGCATGTCCAAAGAGACATCGAGCAAGAATTTGTATTCCCGGCTGCAGCACAACTGGGATTACATGCAGGACAACGAATTGAGGACACAGCGCCGGGTCGCCACCAGAGCGGTTCAATCGATTTAGTGGAAGACACAGTTCGTGTCGCACCGACGATAAGCTGCGCTTCTCAAAGTGTCGGTGCCTCCAACTCAGCAACCTAAGATGTGGAGTAGTATGTACATGGCATCAAAGTGTAAATTGAACGATGGGGTAGCTCTCGCTGTCTGGTTTCTGTTCCGTAATGGTGGGTCTCCAGTATGGCCATGACCCGTTACAGAGGGCCACCATTGTCCACCAACTGGAAGTGGATGGTGCTTGGGGAACAAAGGAGCCTGATAGGAGTTCCTCCAACATGTCAAACGCAGTCTCCCATCTGAGGATGTTTATCCCCTTCGTTGGTAGAGGAAGGCCGATGGTCAATTTGCCGAAGGGCACCCTTGTTCCATTCGCTTAAACCCACTTTAGGTTCTTCCCATTTATAATCAACTTCATGTGGACAGTAGTGGCCCAATAAAGGGGATGAATGTCAGGGTGGTTGGCATAAATGGAGACCCATTGGTACGGCTCATTACTTCCCATGCGTAGTGTCTGATAACGAATTAGATTGGACATGATTTGCGAAATATGAACAGGCGTGGTCGTTAGAGAGATGCCGCTATTTAGGTCCAGTGCAAGTACGCAACCGCTTTCCATGTGCAATCGAGCATTTGATTCAAGCGTGACTGGCGGGCCAGCACTGAACCCTGCACGTGGCATATCATGCATTACGACCTTGAAAGAGCACACATGACAAGCGAACACAAGAGAATGAGGGAAACTCCAACACCGCTCCCCTCCAGGCAGGAAACCCGCTGGATAGTTAGGAATGGTGAAGCACGGGCAGGAGGGGCCCCACCATAGGGCCTTGACGCCATCCGTGTGGCGCAAGATTACGCAATGTTGCATAACCTGCATGCGGCAGTGCATAAGATTAAGGTCCAGGAAATCCCAGATCTGGATTACCTTTGTTTTGGCCAGACCGTGGATGTGATTATTGCCACAGGTTCAGTAATGTGAAGACCACCTGATGTGCAAAATTCTATTATTCCATCAATCCTTGAGTCTTTATATTTCACCTCCGTTGTTCCCACTCTCAAGAGAAGACGCTATTTTGATTTTGGTAGCATATCGCCCAACGGACGCCAGGGCGACATGGACGCTGAGAAACACTTAACTGAATTAAACTCAACATGGCATGAAAGTGTCCAAGCCCGTCCTAGAGCAGCTGTACCATCTTGAAGACTTCATGTTGAAGTCATCAGAACACACGCCAAATGTGACAAGGACTATTGCTGCCCACAACACATACAAGCAATCTTTGCTCTTCATTTTGCAGAGGTACATCAGTTTCCAACGAAAGACAATACGATGCAGAATGCCTCTATACCAGGTGTTGTGATTGCAACCCTACTCGCACAAATGGTGGAGATGTAATAGCGATGTTCACAGACACAGTACTCCAATTGTCGACCACAAATGTTTGACAAACCTGTCCCGCTTGCTGCGAAGTGGCCGGCATGCTGAGGCGCACATACACACGATCCCCTTGAAGCAAATTTTTAGCCGATTCAGAAATGTAATTGTGGGCGTGCATGCGATGCGACGATGCCTGTGCCAGTTCGGGTGTCGGCCACCTTTGAAGCGGGGGTGTGGATGTGGGATCCATTGAGTGAAGATGAGCGGGCATAAACCCAATCGCAGCGCCCACAGCGGCAGCGATCGAGGGGAATGCCTTTGATCCAGGGCTGGCACCTGCTATCTGTCACAAGACAGAACGCCCAATGTACTATACTACATTGAGCTGATGGATATCAGCCAAAATATGGAGCAACACCTAGCAGCAAAGAATTGCAAGCACCATTGACGTCGTCCGAAAGCCACGTATTGCTCCGGGAATTACAAGGGGCGGCCGGCATGAGTTGCCGAGGGAGTGCATATGCGGGATGGGGGAGACGGCCGAAAGTTGCCCCAACCCTTGCGGCGTGGTGTTGATGTCGTAGGCCAGAAACGAAGGTGATATTTTCGTGAGCTGCAATACACTGTGTACAAATGTCAGAGTAACTGTGTCAAAGCAAGGATTGACGCAAAGCACGGGGGTGGGAGTCTCTGATCTTAGCGTCCATTTGACGCTCAGCGCACTGAAACGAAAATGGGGACTTTCCTAAATTTTCCAATCCTGACCAGTCAGCCGATTTTTTTCTGTTTTTGCATTTCCCATGGCAACGGCCATTGCTTGAAATAGACACAATGTTGCTCTGCTCGGGCCCTTCTATGCAGTATATGTGGAACGAATGGCAAATACCCATCGCTAGCCAAATGCGTCAGTCATCGACTTCGCGAAGCCGGGGTCACATGAACGATAGTGCATCTGTGATGTCAAGAAAAAACTATATTTCATGTTGAGAGGTTCCAGTTTTCAGACGACGTCTATGGTGTTTGTAGTTCTTTGCTGCTAGGTGTTGCTCTTTGTTTTGGCTGATACCTAGCAGCTCAATGTAGTATAGTACATTGGGCGTTCTGTCTTGTGCCAGATGGCAGGTTTGTTGAATCGTCTGTACTGCAACTGCACGCATTGCTGTGCTTGCCCCCGTATGTTACAACCCTTTCCCAAAGTCTTGGAAAACATTTCTGTGGACAAAAAGGGCACCATTGCAACCATTCAGGAGCTTTCGACGTAATCGTTATCATAATCTTCGTGAACGGTCTATTTCACGATATTGAGGCGTGTTTCCACTATTTTCGTGTCTACTGATTGGCCGCGTTGGCCTCAACCTATGATGAGGTTCCTGGTAGCGTCACCATGCATGGCTTTCCGAACCTTGCCATATCCGCCAGGTCGACACTTTTGTACTGATCGAGGTGCCTCTTGGCCCCCGGCCGCAACCGCCGCTCAGTTCTCGTTGACGAACCAGATTCTGCAGGGAACTCCATCTTTCCTAATGAATTCTGTGTGGGATCAATCCGTATCTTCAGTGCATGCCAAATCACCTAAACACACCTCTCCCCCAGCGACTGGTCAGTTCGGGCCACCTCTATCGAAGGGCGGGACGAGCTTGACATACACCCAAATGCCGGCAAAGTGTAAAGCCGCGTTTCAGCTCTTTTTCACATATCGCGAGACTGCCGGCACCCATTGACGTGTTCGAGGATCGTACACAGGCTTGGTTTTTACGCCGTAAAAATTGATCGTATTTACGTTTTTACGCGCAAAAATAGTTTTTACGTTTTTACGCGTAAAATGCGTAAAAATACGTAAATACAACGTAAAAACTGCCTGGTGTACATAATGACAGTACATATAGATTTACAGAGTCCGGAGAGTGGCAGCCAGACGCCTTGGAAGAGGCAGAAAACGAGTTTTTGCTAAACGCCATTATCGCCCTTGCCAAAGGCGAGGTGGACATTGTGCTCCGGGTGATGGAGATTGCGGAAGACCGATCATTGTATGCAACTTTCATCGTGTAAACTACGTGGGCCAGAGAGCCGTAAAAACGTAAAAATAGCCGCAGAAATAGGTCCTTTTGCAAATTTACGTTTTTACGCGTAAAAACGTGAAAGTAAAAACGTAAACGTAAACGTAAACGTAAAAACCAAGCCTGGTCGTACATATTGGCTCTCTATATGGGGCGTAGAGCTTGTTGTTGTCAAGTTTTCTGACTCACACGTTTTCAACTCTTCTCGCGGGAATTTGGAAATCAGACGCGAGTTTGGGATCTGATGCGTACTGTAAGATACTAAAATCTTCCGCATAGTAACGTAACGCCTGGCCATTTTTTGTGGAAAAAATAAATAGTAATGCAAATCTTGGCCTTTCTGTGCGGAGCAACGTTAAAAAAAATAAAATCACGCTCTGAAAAACAAAATGCGGAGCAAAAAGCGTAACGATGAAATTTTCTGATGCGGAAGGGTTGAATAGTTTACAGTACTTCCTCCATCAACCTTTGTGAAAGTGGGTCCAGCACAGCGCTGGCCAGCGTTGATTTGATGGCGCAGCAGGAGAGGTGAATGAGCGAATTGGCCTTCGCCGACCCACGCACTGGTTCGAAGGTGCTTTGGGAGGCGAACTCTTGTTCTCAGAGCCCGCGACCGGCACTTGAGGCCATCGGCTGAAGTCGTCGCGCACCTCAGCACACGTCGAGCCCCTGTCGACGCCAGGAGCTGGGACACGCAAGCCGGTCCCCTGATGACCTCGCGGAAGCTGCCAGAACGGCGAGAGGTTGGCGGCAAGAGCGCAACTTTTTGATTGCGGGTTGCGCAGGGCAGATTTGGTGCCGTGCACACAGCAGAGTCAGTAGTCTTCTTGGGTGAAGCGCACGCCCTCTGGATCGCGTTGCCGTGCAGTCAGCTGATAGTGAATGCGCGCAAGGGACTGAAATCTGCTGTTGTGCGTCTCCCCTGATCACGTCGGCTGTTCGTGTCTGAAGAGGTGCTGGGGCACCATAGCAAGTGCTCGCACTTCTTGTCACAGGCACGAATGAGCGCATGGTGCTCGATTCCACGGCCAGTTTGCGTCTGCCCGTTCCCCGCACGCTGTGCCTCGTTCAGAGCGACTTTCGAATTCTGTGCAGGGAGAAGATCCTGTTCTGAAGTCGGGAGCCTTCCCTTCCTGCTGCAGTTGGGTTTCCGGGCATCCTCTCATCAAGATCCGAAGCGTTCAGCAGTGCACGTCTTCTTTACCGGTGGCCACTGACCTGGATGGACGAGGGCGAAGATGCACTCATCGAACCGCTGACGAGTCCATGCGTCGAATCGCCGACACGTCTCCACCTCCCGCTTCGCTTGGAAGGTGCGAGACGTCGGGATTTCGTTCTGGACACACACTGCCGCCCAACTCTGACCTCAGCCACCTGCAGGTGGCCTGCACCGGGTTCTTGTTTGTGACCGGAGCACCCACCCGTTTGGCGAACAGTGGGCCCCATGCAAAGACACTGGCCACGGTGTGCCCTGCAAAAGCCCCACGCAGTTTGTCAATCAGTGGCAACCGTAGCGAAGCGGTGTCCCTGTGGCTGGCAGTGTGTGGATTCGACAGAGGCCCTTCTAACGGTCCGACATCCATTCAATACGTCGCCTTAGCGGCAAATATTGAGCAGGATTGAGGTGTTGTCTTGGAGCTGCTGTGGCT